GATCATTACAAATTGGTGTCAATTGCTTAAAAGCAATGAGGAGTCCATTTCACACCTTATGTTTACATGCTCCTTCTCCAGGATAATTTGGGATTTCTTCACGAAACCTTTAAAGTCGCATGGTCCTTTCCCCACTCAGGTTTGGCCTTTTCTCCATGTTTGCAGAGAATTGAGGTGCGATCCTAAATTCAAAGATTGCATTAAAGTCTTGCCACATGCAGTGTGTTGGTCACATATTTGACTTATCTTAACTCAGATTTTCACCAATGATATTTTAAATAAATGCAAGACTTCTTCTTTTTATTAACTTATTTTGAATTTAAGAACTATTTTCCCTTTATTTTATTGTAAAAAAATTAATATTGTTTTCAATCATGTATAAGAATATGTTGATCTACCCGACTCATACTAGCTTGTCTGTTAACCACCCTAATTGTGAGATGAGAATTGATATTGAAGTACCCGCTCCGTCCGCTCCATTGCCTTTACTGCTTAAGAATCAAGTCTAGGGTGTTGTTAACGGCGTACGTGATGCAGTCAAAATCGCGATTTTAAACTTAAAAGCTTGCGGTTTTACACTTTTAGATCACAAAAACGCTTTCGTTTCCATATAAAATCATTAGTAAATAAAACCGGATTACGCTTTAAAGCATGAAAGCTTCCGCTTTTACGCTTCTAGTTCACCAAAACGTTTTACGCTTTTACGAATGAGTATTCTACTCATGAAATTAATTATAAAATGTATATTTTAAAGGCAAATCACCGACAATATGATACATTTGAGATTAAAAGATACATACCAGATACTTGAATGCTTTCTCAACTTTAATATAGTTATCTAATTCACCATCTAGGCCCTTCCCAAATTCATTAGCATAGAGAGGAAGGTGTCTTATTGTTAAGATCTATGTTTTTGAACTTATTGTTAAGATGCTATGAATTGCTCTAATTTATACATGAATTGCATGTATTTATTAATTTATCTAAATTCTGTACACTCATATTTACATAGCATATGTCATAATTAACACATTTTTAGCTATTTTACGGTATACGTAAAAAACTTACGCTTTTACGCTTTGATTCTACACTTTACACTTTTATCCATTTGAATACGATAGAATTCGGTGGATTACACATCAATTATCTAAGTATAGTCTTTACAAAAAAAAAATTTGATAACCCATGAACAATCCCCCACAACGCATCGTTTGAGCGAAGGCGGAGCGAGACCAAACTTGAGGTTCACCAGCTTGAGCCCTCGAGCTCTCCACTAAAATCCCCATTAATGCCTCCAGGAACACCACCAAATAAAGGGCCTCGAGGGGAGTCAAACTCAGGACCGCACACGTCTAGAATGAGGTCCAACAAGAGTTCACCAATTGGACTATGTGACATTTGTCCGCATTTACAAATTTAAGGTTAGCAGTTAGTACATAATACCATAGCCTAAAACTCTATTAATTCAATATCGATATATATACCTTTTTCACTGATGGTATTTGGTATTCCAAATTTATTGGTTACCATAACACTCGCTAGTAGTTTTTGTTGAAAATAAGATGGTAGATTGTTTATAGTTATAAACACAAAAACTTAAACGTTATATATCCGAATCCGACGACGAGATTACTTTTCGTCTCTTTGTTTCGCTTTCGCATTTCTTCCAGCCAGCCCTGTTGCATGTCGTTCGATGCATAGCCCAACACATTGATAAATTGCACCAACTTGCTCTTGGAGCAGGCAAAGCCAAGGACAAGGAAATAATCAGACTTTTCAACTAATTTCTATATCAAAATCAATTGTCGTAAAGGGGAACACAAAGACTTGCCAAACTTCACCCCCCTTGCAGCCCTGCTATAGGGATGCCCGACTCCTTTCCAGTGGCGGACCTAAGGCATTGCAGGGTGTGTCGTCCGACACACCCTCGCTCGAGAATTTTACGAAGGACCTACATATTTTTGGTACAAATTTTTTTACTTCGGGATAGCCGACACACCCTCAATAATTATAGCCGACACACCTTCATTATACTCAAAGAAATTTTATCCAAATGAATCAATCTTAATCATAATCCTTTTTAATTTTGTTTAAAATAACTCATAAAGCATAATCCTATCCTTCCTATTAAAAAAAAAATACTCTTAGCCCATACAATATACACGTGTGATGAGTGTTGGGCCTGAGCCTTTAATTAAATGAGAAAAGAACCCACAGGCCAAAAGCCCAGTCGGCCACTAGCCCACTACCTCCCCATTATTATTCCTTCCCTCCCCATCCCCAATTAATGGCCCAATCTCCCCAATTAATGGCCCAATGCCATATTCCTTGTCCATATCTCAATTCCCAGCAACCCATCCCCATTATTCCCCCTGGTTCCCTCTTCTCTCGCTCGCAAAAAACCCCAGACGAACAAAAAACCCAGACAAAGGCAGAACGGGCAAGTCGGCACGGCAACCCATCTCGGCCTCGGCGGACACCCTTCACCGGCGGGCAGCGCGGCGGCGGCAACTCCTCGTAGCCGGTCAAGTGGGCACTTCTTGTAGCTGGCCAAATGTAAGTAATTTTACTGTTATGAACCCTAAATTGCAAAGTTTAGGGGTTTTTCTTGTTTTCCATTTAACCCAAATTTTATTTGTCAATTTGTAATTCATGGATGAATTGAATAGATTTGTTTATAAGCTAATTTATGTTGTACTCTGTATCCAGACATGGAGAGATTTTACCCAAAGGTCCCAAAGAAAGCAAAAACTACTCTACATATTAACAATTTAGGAGGTGAATCAAGTAAAATGAATCATGATGATTCTCAATCTTCCTCGCCATCGATTAATCAAACAAGTGGCATCTCAAGTAAGTTTTCTTCATTTCCTGAAGAACATGAGAATGATGATGTTGATGAGCATTTTCAGCTATGAAGATAATCAAGAACGATCTTCGAAATCGGTTGAGTGACCAATTTATGAATGATTGTTTAGTTGTGTATATTGAAAAGATTTGCTTTGCAGCATAAGTGATGAATGTATTTTAGAGACATTTCAGCAGATGAAAAGTCGTCGCGGTTCGTTGTAAACATGACATTGTGAACTTTATGAATTAATTTCTTTTAATTTTAACTTAATTTTTAATTTAATTTAATTATTATTTTATTTTATCAGCGACACACCTCTCCGACAATCCTGGGTCCGCCACTGCTTCCTTCTTTATCCTTCTCATCCGAAGCAAGGAATTACCTTCCAAGTCCTCTTGCTGTGTGTCCTACTCCTCCAAATGATCATAGTTATAATCATCTTCTGTTTGTATCTTCTTGTCTCTTTTGGGATGTCTGTCAATCACCTTTCTCGACGCAGATATCCCGAAACCCATTTGGGATGACTTACCCGATAGCTTGGCAGACAATTCTTCAGAAAGAACCCCTGCTGGGCTTTCCATGGCAACCACAATCACCTCAGCTCAGGCCTTTTCCCACTATACTTCCTCACCATCTTCCTTATTATCTCAGAAACGATTCTTTCCATGTGTGCTAGAGAGGACAGTTAACAGGACAACTTGAAAGGGCAGCATGAGCAGCTTTGTGGAGTGCATCCAAAAGCTTCCCTTTGTCCAGCCACAAGCACCGTGTAGTGATTCTTATTATTTTCCCCTTTATGTTATTACTTTCACTGACACCATCTATGCCCTGAGGTCGCAAGACTCCCATGCTGGCAAAAAGGGAAACAATTGAACTCAAGCTATAATAATAATAATAATAATAAGCACAAGGAGAAGAAGAATCATTCTTAATTTACTACATTATAATTCCATTCCATCTGTGGCGATTCTTATGCTTTATCACCATCACTGTACATCAGCTTCAAAATGAGCTGGAAAACTTCGGAACCAATGAATCAAAAAGTCATGGATCAAGATATCAATTGTTCCATAAGAGAGAAAATGGTTTAACTGAGATCAACCTGCAAATTCTCCTTTCCAAGAGATATAAAACCATTTGACAGCACTCTTCTGTTCCTCAAGTGTGATACTCCGAGCATCTCTCCATTCTTTATAACCTAGGATAACTTTTTATCAGTCAAGGCACATTATCACAAATTCTCCACAAACGTAATAGAAAACTGAAATTACTAGAGCGAGCACAAGTCTTCTTCTATCCAATTGAAAATTCAGTACAGAGAACAGGAATCAGTTTTTAAATCCATTCGGAAAAAGTGTAACCTAGACCACACATTTATCACGAGATGCTTTCAGGGTAACTGGGATTTTTCCGTTCTAAACAACAGAGACGGAGGTGAAAGAACAGAATTATAAGAACCTACGATAAGAAGAAACCCTCACTGACGATAGCAGTGATAATCCGATGGTCTGACAAGATTTGTTATCCAAGCCATAGTTTGAATTGCAACAATACTTTCCAAAGCGGTATTTTTCTTTTCCCACTTGCTGCCATTTAGAGAAAGGAATATCGCAACATCATTGATTTACCCTAAAGCAAGATGTGGATATGTTTATTGAATCAAACCAATAAGCACTAGATGAAAACAGTAGAGGAAGAACTGACTCACAGTGGTATGGTGAACTCCAGTTGACTTTCCAAGCAATTCATGCTCTTTCAAGAACAAGAGTTCTCCATGTATACGGAGAAAATGTTGTGCCTTTCCATCCTTCCATGCAGCATCCAAATATGTCCTTAAGGACATGCCAACAAAGACCAAGAAAATGAGCGAGGTCTCAGAATTTACTATGAATTAAGTTGTTGGGTTTCTTATCATTTATCAATTTGTATTACACAAATATTCTGTAATATAAGTAATATTTACCCAAAAAACTAGTGAGAATTTACAAGTTCTCTGCCTGTCAAATCAGCGGCAGCTTTTACACTTCCCAGTCGACATATATTTGATGCAAATTGAGTAGTGATAACCCTTCCTTTAGCAGATGAAATGCGTCTCAACAATGAATCTGCTACAACGGTTTCGCTAGTTGTCCTGCCCGTTGACAGCACATTAATTTGTTGAATCGCTCATCATCTGAACAATGGATACCATGTCAAATCTCCATTGATAGCTTTCATCATTAACACCTTAGTGCAGGCATATCTGAGCAACAAAACACTACTATAGCCATCACATGCAGGTCATAACTAGACTTGAAGTACATGCCATGTAGGCAGAAAGAAAATAGAAAAGATGGTGTTTGTCTCGAAGAGATTAAATAGTTCAAAAAATTATTCTCCATAAAGTCGTCAATCCTATAAGCCCCATAGTAATCTTTCAATCTAGCAAACACATCTTCAGAAAAGTAAAGACTGACCAATGTCACTCCTTCCTTCGAGAGCTTCACGATCAAACGGTTTCCCATCATCAATCTGTGAATTGTACTTCTTTTATGCTTCCCATAAAGCCAAGCAATGAAGTGAGCAAAATGAATCAGTAAATGAGCTTACCTTCCAGTCCCCTGTATGAAGTATTATACCATCAGAGCAATGAAGAATGAGGCCACTACAATCAGGAATTGAGTGGGTAACCGTGATAGGCTCTATTTAAAAAGGCCCAGCAGTAAATCTCCTCCTCCTTCTGAAAACTTTTAGTCTAGATGGAAGAAAGATTCCGTGCTCCTTCAGACGCTTTTTTATAAGCTTTAAGAGCATGAAACAATGTGTTACCGACTTGAGCATTGCTTAGAATCAATCAATCAAGATTCCTCTGATGTGTACGGATAAAAAAATACCCCACAGCATAAGAAAAGCTACTATGTGCCATAAGCAAAAGAACATATGGACTTGCTGAGAAAACTGAATAATTCCTCCAGACACTTGTTGCTGAAGAGAGAATGAAGAACAGCAATAAAGAAGAAATCTTCGACACCTTCTCTATGTTAAAGAATGAACAACAATCATGCCAGCGGGCTACAATTAAGAACAGCAAGTACCTCCATTGTAAAGGACGATGCATATATCGGGGTATGAGAATCCAAAGCAGGTATCACCAGCTTGGACAAGAGCGAAAATTTCTTCATTAACAAGTTCTGGGAAGTTCAAGCTGCTACTGAAAAGCTACAAGTGTTAGATATAGAACCAAAATTTTGAGTCACAGCAATAGTGAATCAATGCGCTACAGATGAATCCACGAACACAAATGATTGTGATAATTCCAGGTTTACCCTAGTGACACTATTAGAGGTGGCAATTATGATCCAAATCCATGAATCCAATCCATCCACCAAATTATCCACCTAATCCAATCCATTTAAATCCAATCCATTTGATCAAAATCCAATTGGATTGGTGGATTCATGGAGCAATCCATGGATCCAAATGGCAAATGACGATTTGGTACTTATATTTTTTATATTTTACATTTTGGTACCTAAAATTTACATTTTTATACGAAAAATATCATTGGAAAATTACATTTTGGTACCTAAAAATTTTCATTATAACATTTTAGTACCTACAATTTTCAAAATTTACATTTTGGTCCAAGCCTTGAATGTCATTTGGATTCATGGATCAATCCACCAATCCATTTGATCCATGGATCCACCAATCCAATCCACGAATCCACGAATTCGATCCAATTGCCACCTCTAGATTCATGACTTCACAAGTTTTTTTTACCTTGTAACAGACACCCACCTGTAAGGCATTTCGAAATTCATGTTTCCTCACATTATATAAAGTTGTCATCTAGCAAGTTTTACAGCCTTTAAACGGTCACTGCTTGATCAGCGGACATCAATGAGGGTGAAAGTATGGTTATTTCTCTAAACTATCATTGGACCTTGATCTTTCCACAAAATTTATTTACAGCGAAGTACTGCATTAAACAGGAAATCCCAAAGTATAGCACAAGAGAGAAACTTGCATACTACATGCTGGAAAAGGATGTTAATCTGGAAGTGTCAAGTAGTAGAAAGAAACTTTACCCATGGCAATGCTCCGATGTGATCTTCATGCCCATGTGTTATAACAACTGCTTCAATTTTGTGGCTCCATTTTTTGATAAATGTGGTGTCCGGTAAAATCTTTTGAACTCCGAGCTCATCGTGGCTGTAACAGGTCACATTGTAGATTACATGACGACGTCAAGCGTAGCACCATCGCTATTCAGAATGCATGAGAAAGAAAATTGAATTCATGGAACACTTAAGTATGAAGCTTGTATTAAACTTTACTTGACCGAGTATTAACATTACATCAAACTTTTTCCTTATTTAAGAAAAAAACTACATAAAGAAAATGTGTTTCTTTCTTAAAAATTAATTTCCCCTTCCATGATCATGCATTTTGCCGGCATAAACATGCAGTGAATGCCATCAAAAATAACTTGGGGGCTTAAATGACCAATGCTTACTCAGGGAACATAACACCAGCGTCAATTAGAATATATCGATCGTAATTCCCAACTAGCATGCAATTCATTCCAATCTCACCCAGTCCACCAACCGGAACAATACGTAGTGGTGGACCATTAGATCCTTCGTAGAACTGTTCCATTTTGCGTTGAACTGAGTCTTCCATACTTTTCCCTGCCCCTTCTGTTCTTCTCGATCTTTTGCGTGGTGCCTTGGACACACGGCTGCCTAAGACAAGCAAAAACAACGGAATAACCAAGATATCCACGGAAATTGAACACTCGGGTTCCAGCCTTCCACCATAGCCAACTAACCTTACTACTTACAACCTTAGCAACCCAAAACTGGGTGATGGAATAGCAATTACAGCTAAAACGGATAAGCAAGAAGCTTACGACCCTGAAGCTTATAGCAGGATACCTCATTCAAGCTCAATGGCATAACCATAAATCTGGACAAGGGGGGATAGCTTAAATTGCCGTAATTGGGAGAGGCGGCTAAAGTCTTACCGACTATTCTAATTTCTAAATTTGTTCAAATTTTACATGTAAATTTACCTATGTTTTAAAGTTGAGGAGCTATAGCCCCTCCTAACTTCGGTCTACCTGCACCACCGTTCAAACTTAAGTATACACAGTTGCAACTGCAGACAGAAACTTGTAATAATCTACAGCAAAAGCGATTCCGGGCCAGGCAACAAGGATACCATCAAACCAACTAGGTGAGGAGCTATAGCCCCTCCTAACGTCGGTCTACCTGCACCACCGTTCAAACTTAAGTATACACAGTTGCAACTGCAGACAGAAACTTGCAATCATCTACAACAAAAGCGGTTCCGGGCCAGGCAACAAGGATACCATCAAACCAACTAGTTGACTGCACACTGTCAATTTCCCATAAACACCATGTTATCGTTTCACCAAGTTCGGAACAGTTGTAACACATAATTTATAGGTAACACCGCAATGATACTCAAACTTAGATTCTCAATTTCTCGATTCCATAATCGCCTTTATCTTCCAAGTAAAAGCACAAAAAGTTGCTCAGAGAAAAATGAACAAACAGGTGGGCGGCAGTTGGAAATTGAGTCTACCTATCTTCATCGGGGAACCAATACAGCAAGAAACCGAGGGATTGGGAAGACCCGGGCGGCGGAATGGCGTGTAAGGGCACGGCGACAGAGCTGTAAAGGAAAAAGCGGTCATCTTTGGTTTGAGAGTTGTAACAGAGTTCAAGGAAGAGGAAGGATAAGAACTCCCCACAAGCTCGAAATGCATTTGGGTTCCAAAGCTACCGGGAAACCAAGAAAGGGCTGCCAATCCAAAAAGCCTCTGAGAGGCGAGAGAATATAGCAGGGTTTTAGAGAGGGATTTGGGAAGCCGCAGCAGCTTGGGTCGGGAAGTTATTAGAAAGAGTGAAATGGGGCTCCCTCCCTCCCTCCATGGAGTTCAATTTTTCTTTTTCTTTTTCTTTTTTTCAGGATTAGTCGATTAGAGGAATAAAAATATCTTCTGCTTGTCAGTTTGCTGAAAAGTTGGAGACGTGTCGTCGGCCGCGTTCATCGTTGGTCATTAGGCGATCCCTCGCCGCCAGTCACAGGAAATGGGTCGTACGGGTCGGTCCGCGCCAGCTCCAAATTTTCTTCCAGTCAAAGTACCTTTGCTCCGTCTCCTATCCACCGGCGAGAGCATATGCAGACTTTACCTTGAACTTGTCGTTCGGTTCATGGCCCCAGAAAGCTTCATCGTCACCTGCATTCTCCCGTGGCGGTTAATGTGCTTTGACATGTAGGGCAACCTCCCTGGGTAGGAACATATCAAGTGAACTTTCATCCCACTCACCTTCATCTCCGACGAAAGCCGCAACCGGGAGAGAGGGGTCCGCTGGTTGTGCGTCCGCCCGTAGGTGGTCGATGAGGAGGGTATCTTCATCTAGCCATCGATCAGTACAGAATGACGTGCCTCGCCCATTTTAAACGCGCACATGTTGGTGTCTGCCGCCATAACCGACCACGCTCTCTTAATGCCGCGCCAGAGGGTAGAGCACCGTCGTGACGCCTTCGCCATCAAGTTACCACCAACTTGACCTGTAGAACTCTCACCCATAGCTCCTCCTGGTTGCTGACAAAAATCCAAGCAAGTTTAGAGAGGAAATCAATATTCAATTCATGAGCTTTTTTTAAACCCAAACCTCCCTCCTCCTTCAGCCTGCACACACCCTCCTAGTGAACCCGGTGCATCTTCCACTTCTCTGTCGTAGATCCCCATATAAAACCCAAATTCACTTATCAATCTCATCACAAATCGATTGGAGCAGAAGCGTGGTTTGCATGGCATACGTCGGTAAAGTGTTGGGGAATGAAGTAGCTAGCGTTACACGCCCATCAAAGGACAAAGAATCCGCTTGGCAGCCTGCGAGCTTTTTGTCGAGTCTCTCCAGGATGTACTTGTATGTTTCTCTGGTAACTCGCCCATGTAAGACCGGTACACCGAGGTACCACTCTAGATCTTGAGTAGCCGGAATACGCAGACTCCAAATAATATCACCGTTGGTCCACCTGTCCGTGTTTTTTTAGAATAAAACTACTGATTTCTCCTTGCTCACCATTTCTCCAGAGGCAAGACAAAACATGTCGAGCCATTCAAGGAGGACTTCGCTTTTCCTGACCGAAGCTTCTGCAAAAAGAATTAGATCATCAGCAAAAAAGAGATGGGAGAGTGGTGGGCCATCTGGCGAAGTCTTAATTGGCTTCCATTTTCCCTCCCGAACTCCCTTGTCAATAGCATGACTGAGCCGCTCCGCGCAAAGAGGGGACAACCTTGACGAAGTCCTCTGGTAGGCGAGAAAGGTTTTGTTTCGTTGGCATTCCAAAGTACCCTCATGGTTTCCATTGTCACAAACTGCATCACCACTTCAGTAAAGTCACCGAGGAATCCTGTCGCTGCTAAAGTTTCGCGAAGGAAGGACCAGCTTAGCTTGTCATAGGCTTTCGCAAGATCCACCTTCACTACCATCTGCCCCATTCTTCCTGTCTTGATACCCATTGAATGCACCAACTACTGTAGAATGATGATGTTATCTGTGATATGACGGCCCGGGATAAAGTTGGTCTTGGTGTTGTGCACCAATCTCCTCATCATTGGTTTAATCCGATTTTCCAAGCACTTTGCCAGGGACTTATAAACAACATTACAAAGCCCGATTGGACGAAATTGAGCAATCATGGCTTGATTTTCCTTATTTGGTGTGAGGACTAGAAGCGTCTTATTAATCAAAGTGATCTGTCTCGGGTTCCTGAAACAATCGCCAACATATGTCGAGAAGGTTTCTGCCATTTTACCCCAGGACTGTTGGAAAAATTTGTCGGGTAGCCATCACACCCCGGGGCTTTCAGGCCTCCCATCTCCTGGAGAGCTCTCCACAACTCATCACGGGAGAGGTCAGCCAAAGAGAGGGGTGAAGCTCCACACCAATTGCTTCAAACATGGCTGGAAGTTGAGGAGCAGCGCCAAACTCATCAGTGAAAAGAGCCGCATAGAAATCCCGAACGTGGGCTTTTAAAAAATATGCATCGTCGATTAACTCGCCACCCTCTTCCCTTAAAGACGTCACCCTATTGAATCTTCTGCGTTTAAGCGTACACGGGTGGAAATATCTAGTATTTCGGTCACCTCCCACCACCCATGAGCCGCGTGACTTCTGGACCCATAGCAGATGCTCCTGCCAAAGTGTGTCTTCCAGGTCTGCCCGCAACTTATGTTCCTCATCAATGTCTTCGTTCGAAGCTCCTCGTTCATTTCTCATTTCCACCCTCCGCATGTGAGCAGCTAATCTCCGTTTTCTTTGGTGTATGTGCCCAAACACCTCTCTGTTCCATCCTTTTAGTTCCTCTGTGAGACCCGATAGCTGCTGGGGCAGTTCGGTGGACTTACTCAGAGCCTCATCAAGCACCCGAGGAAAATCTTCATGGCCAATCCACGCTGCAATGAATCTAAATGGGCTTTCCCTTTCAGGGCGAATCAGGGGCACTGCTTGGAGGACGATGGCCCGGTGATCTCAGCCTACGCGTGCTAGGTGTTTGACTATAGACTGCGGGTACTTCAAGAGCCACTGCCCATTACATAGTGCTCGATCAAGATGCAGATAAAGCGTACGTCTTTGTCAAGTAAATTGAGGACCTGAGAAATGGACATCAAAAAGTCGAGCGTTATCCACACAATCCCGGAATGGCCTTGAACGAGCTTCGTTATAGACAGACCCACCCACTCTATCCGTCGGGCCAAGAATCGCATTAAAATCTCCAATTAAACACCATGGAAAATCCGTAGAGTCGGCCAATCTCGTGATCTCCTGCCAGAGGTCTCGCCGATCAGTTGCATTCGAACTTCCATAGACTGCAGATATCATGATTTCTATTCGTGAGGCTGACCTATTGGCACATCGCATATGAATCATATGACTCCACTCATATACAGATGTGACAAGAAGATCCTGCTCCCTCCATAGCACCTAGATGCCTCTAGAGAAACCCACTGCATCAACCAGCAACACGCCATCGAAACCAGTGCGTGAGATAACTCTGCGTGCTACGTCACCACTGATTTGAGGTTCCACAACAATGACCATATGAGGCTTGTTGGCCCCTACAAAAGTAGACAAATACTCAATGAACATATCTCCTCCTGCCCCTTGGCAGTTCCACAATAATATGTTTATCATAACAACACAAAGAAAAGGTAAGAACAAAACACTAACAGAACACAGGAAAGAGACTTCCCTGACAGTCGGCCTAGTCGATTAAGAAAGCGACTGAGACCCCTTGGAGGATGTTACAACCCTCCCATTCGAACTCGCCAAAATGGCATTCCTGGCCTTCTCCTTTGATATACTCTGATTGTGAGGTCCAGGGGGCTGCCTCGCATGTGTTGGCAGTTGGCCGCCCTTACTACCCTTCATAGACGAAGGCTGCTGACTTACTTTCACTTTAGGGTGGGTGCTGTTCTCCTGATCTTTACCCTTTGATCAAGCATTAGTCTGTACTGGTGTCGTCTTCCTCGAGCCATTTAACTCACCAAGACGAGCCTCGCGAATAGGCACGTCGACTATCGTTAGAGCCCCTTCAGCAGGGTTACGAGCTTGCGACGCAATCCGAGCAATGTTGCTTAGTTGGGGAGTTCCCTTGGCAACTGGCACTCCCGTCCCGACATTATGCTCCTTTGAAACAAAATTTGATGCGTGCACATTTTTTGTGGGCCGCAAGGCCATTAATTGTTTTCTATTATTATTTTTTTTTTATTTTTTTTTTATGGTTATTATTTCTTGTTAAGGAAGTTATTGTTTGGGAGAAAGTCTAGGATTAGTTTACCTTATTCGAGAGGGAAAGGGTTTGTAGGAGGATTATTTCTATAAATACCCTAATCTCTACGTTTATAGTCAATGAAGAATAAAGTTAAAAGCCCTAATCTCGTTCTCTTTAGTTTCTAATTCTTACTATTTACGCGATGGGTGAACCGATCACTCATCAATTGGTATCACAGTTTGGTTTGACGGAACCGAGCTCTAAATAGCTCCCAGGGCAGACATCACCAACGTTCACCACTAACGTTGGGAAGAGGTCCTGCGAGCACCCACTACAACCATCATGCCCCACCACGACAAGGTGAATAAGCAACCACCATCCGCCAAGCACACCTTGAAACCTTTGATCGAAGACCGTCAAGCACAATGAATACAAAGTATACAAATCATGACATAAAGTATAGAAACTAGAGTTACAAATATTACAAATCAAAATATATACAAATTAGTCATATAAACATTACAAACACAATAGACAAAAACAACAATCTAGAATGAAAAATGATACAAAATGAATCGATATAAACATTAAAAATTGGACTTATAAATATTACAAAATAGTTCGACTAACATCACGAATCCAACACTGTCTTCGGAAAATCCACTCCGCCGTCTCTGGTCGCCGAAAAATCTGTTCTTGCCGATCGCTGGAAATCCATCGTCGTCCTCTCTCTCTGCCCATTGGGAAATCCAATAATTCCCCAGAAAAGAGGCCGCCAATTTCAAAGGAATCGCCTCTCTCTCCTCTCTCTCTGGCTGCCGTGAAATCCGATAATTCCCCAGAAAGAGGCCGCCTGGAATTTTCAAAGGAACCGTCGGAGGGGCGAGGAGGAAGCAGAAGAAATGTGTCAGTTTTTATTTCATTTTATTTTAATAATTAAATATATAATGTATTACCTCTGTACCCTTCATTAAATGAGATAAATTAGAACCATTATATCTAAATTCAAATGAAGAGTTGTGATGCACTTAGTCATGTGACTAAGGGTCTAAGTAAATATATCATGTAATTACATATGTACCGTTCATTAAATGAGATAAATTAAAATCATTAGATCTAAATTCAAATATACAGCTTTGATGCACTTAGTCATGTGACTAAGGGACCCCCCTTAGTCACTTGATTTTAGTCCTTCATCGGTGGGTGCGCTTCCTCTATTGCGTCTGCAAGAAAGAGTGAGCGAAAGGAAAGAGAAAGTGTGAAAAGATGGATATTCTCTCTCTTCATTCCACCTTTATTCCACTCTTCTCCAAGTATGAATCATTTCCTTCTCACATATGTGGTTTTCCCCTCTCACATTTTGGGACTTGAGTGTCCTTTACTCACTACCTGATGAAAAACAACCACACACCCATTCTTTTCTAATTTATATTCCTAAAGACCCATAAATAAAAAAGAAAAAAACCCCATTCTACTTCCCCACAAACATCTCTTTCTATCTATTTATTAAATTCATATTATAAAAAATGTTTGACATGCTCCAATATCAATACACCACTTCGTTTTTAACATGGGGTATGGTTGGCTGGGCGGAGATGGGCATATCAGAGCAGGTTAGTAGGCCATATCCATATCCTCCCTGTTTTAACAATGAATCGGGTAGAGATCTGCCCCGTTCAAGGACTGATCGGATTTTATCTGCTCCATTGCAGGTCAGATCAGGGAAAATCCACCGGGGCGGATTTGGTTTGCCATCCCTAGCTACAAGACACCAGCGCGCTTATGAAGGCATATGGTTGTTCAAGGCATTACCCGCGAAACGAAACCCCCCAAATGACACCGTTCCGACAGGCTGACACACGATCACATCGCAAGCATTAGCTGTCAGGATACGCGCTGTCAGTGTTGTTGAATGTCATGTTGCATTTAATGTCCACCCACTGAGGTGAGGTCTATAAACAAAGCATTTACTCTAGTAGGTTAGAGATCGGTTTTTTGTTTCTTCCACTAGAACTTTGAGCTTTCTCCCTCTAGAATTCTGGTTCTCCTAAGTAATACGTCCAAGGAATAAAGTGGAAGTTCACGTTTCTCCCTCGCTCACAAAACCTTACCCTCGTAACTCACTCCTACACTCAGTTCGACACAAACCATTGGTTCCCATCATGGTGTCGTGAGTGAAGGGAGGTACACAACAATGGTAGGAGAATCTTTCAATTCCATTCCTAACGAAACAACTCTGCTCAAGGCGATGAAGAGCCACTAACAATTTGATGAAACCAATGACCCAAACGCGGTGCTTATCAAAGAGGAAGAGCTGGAAATCACAGCCAAAGAAGTGTGCGCACAGATGAACCAGCAGAACAGGGTAATCGTAGATAGGAAAGAACAAATTAATCAAATCATAGCGCTAATAATGATCAAAGAAATGCCCTCCATAGCCATATCGGGCCCACCAGAGATACATCCCGCATAAATAAGAGCGAACTTCAACTTCTTGGAACAACACCTCTCTCCGTATTACAGATAACCGATTAAGAGTATTCTCGATGAACCTCTCTGTGCAGAAACCATGGCAAAGCACATCAGCGGAGCCCCACCCGCCCTACTTGCATACAACAGGACGACTGACCTGAAAGATCATGTGAGCACCTTCTGCATGCGTATGCAGCTTTAGACAAATTCCATCGCTGCGTTATGCAGAGCATCCTCCTCCAACTTCGCGGAAATATGCTTAGACTATCACAAAAGACTTTCAAATGGAATCATCCACTCCTTCGAGGAGTTCATCCTCCTATTCACCACCAAGTTCGCATCACAAAAAGGAGACTTTTGCACCTCAAAGCTCTGATGGACATAAGGCAAAAGGACGGAGAAAATTTAAGGGCATTCTACCCCCGATGGTTGAGGGTGGCCATGGTAGTGCGCGACCACTTAATGGTAGCCACTACCAATATAGAGGTCAAGCGTGCGTTAGCCACTTGTCACATCATCGCCAGAGCTGGAAATTTAAGTCGAAAAGGCAATAGCCCTCGAAGAAACGCTAGGCACCGGTTCAGTACGAAGATTCAAACCATCTAGGCAAGCAAGGTAAAAACAAACATGAAGGCAACCCTTTTAGCATCTCAAAGTTTATCACAGTGGAACGAGAAGACCACTCGTCCCATAGGAGCAAACAACACGACGAATATTGCTAGACAAACGCCCGCTGAATAGTTTTGCACCGCTCAATGACACGGTAAAAAAGTCTTCCACCTCATCCGTGAAAAGGGCCATCACCTAAACTGGCCACACCGCTCAGAGCCCCGCCAAACATGCGTGACCACAGGAAGTATTGCGAATTCCATAGAGAGACATGCACATTACCAAAGAATGCTTCCACCTAAAAGTGGAGATTGAGGCGCTCATCCGGAGAGGGCATTTAGCAAACTGTGTTTGAAAAAATGACGACAAGAAAAGCGGAGACGCATTAATAACCCCGCCACCACAACCAGAGTATAACAAAGGCACAGGGGCATACATCATGCACAAAGGAAGTAGGTGTCGTGACAAGGGAGGGCTACATGCCTCTTAAGAAAACAAAGATAGCCATAACAGTGGTGATATCCAAGACATAATTTGGTGAATTGGAGTTCCCTCACGACATTCTATCTAAGGAGTTGCTAGCCATAACCGCCTTTATATCCGCTTGCAAAGTCCATAGACTGCTGATAGACGGATGTAGTGCAGCCGACTTCCTTTTCAATAGGATGCTTGATCAGATGGATGTTGGCCCACATTTGATAAAGCACACACAAGGAAATCTCGTAGGCTTCTTTGGAGCACGAGTAGCAGTTATCAGAGCCATCGTGCTTCTAGTTGTTATGGGAGATCAAGAGCCAAAAGTTTCAAAAGCAAATTGAGTTCACAATCGTAGACTGCGAGTCACCACACACCGGCATTTTGGGTCGCCCATCTTTAGCAAAGTTCATGGCACTCCCATCTACTTCAAGTTTCTCACAAACGAAGGCGCGGGCGTGACACGCGGTCCACCATGGACCACGACAGAGCAAAATATCGCTTCGTGCCAAACAAACATAATCGACACAAAAGCGGAGAAGCCTTTGTCGAACCCATGGATCCCGACTTCGAGGTAGCATTGAACTTCGCATAGCCAATCCAAAAAGTGCACATATCAACACATATCCCTCACAAAATGGTAGAGCCATTAATCCAACTGTTAAAAAAGTACAAGGAATTGTTCGCCTGGTGCACGGAGGACATGCCTGGAGCCCAAGGAAAGTGGCACATTATTGCCTCAAGGTGCCAATAAATGCAGAACCGTGACATTAGGCGCGCTGCACATTCACCAGAGAAAAGCACAAGGCTATAGAGGATGAAGAGGCTCGTCTTATTGTGGTTGGATTAATCCGCGAAGTCAAATACCCAAAGTGTTTATCCAACATGGTATTGATAAAGAAAGCCTCGAGTGCATGGAGGATGTGTGTTGATTACACAACAATTAACAAAGTATGTCCTAACGATCCTTACCACTTTTGCGCATCGACCAACTAGTTGATGCAACTTCAGACCATGAGACCTTGTTGTTCTTGGACATGTTCCCCGGATATCACCAAATTCCTATGAGTCGAAAGGACGAGGAGAACACCGCCTTCATTACCCATTTAGGAACTTCTGCTTCATCGAAATGCCTTTTGGGGTAAAGAATGCGAGTGCCACAACAAATGATAAATCCAGTCTTCTTCCACCAAATAGGATGCAACATCGTGGCTTACGTGGGCGACCTCATTGTTGAAACCAAAGCGGATCAATCTCACATTGACGATCTTTGCAAGACTCTCCAATCGATTTGGGCACACAATTTGCGCCTAAATCCTTTGAAGTGCATCTTCGTCGCTGAAGCGGGCAAATTATTGGATTTTATGATAATAAAGCACGACATCGAGGTTGATCCAAAGCAAATAGTCGTAGTACAAGAGTTGAGACCACCAAGGAACACCACGGAAATACATGCACTAACGAGAAAATTAGTAGCGTTAGGACGATTCATACCATGATCAGTAGACAAATGTGTGCCATTCTCCCAAACCCTAAAGAACGGAGTGCGCTTCTCATGGTCACCCGAGTGTGAAGCCGCCTTCAATGAGCTGAAAAATTATCTTCTATCCCCCCCTATTTTAACCGCTCCCAATCTTTATAAAAGTTTATTTTTATATATCGCGGTGTCAGATAAGGCAGTAAGCGGGGTCCTAATGTCAAGAAGAGACGCTCAAGGAGAAAAGCCAATGTACTACATGTCTCGAACATTATTGAGAGCGAAAACAAGATATTCGTTAATCGAGAAGGCTGTCCTTGCTGGTAAGCGCGTCCCAAAAATTTAGACCCTACTTCCAAGCGCACCTTATTACGGTTCTAAAAAACCTCCTACTCAAATGAATTTTGAGCTCAGTGGAATTGTCAGGAAGATTGGTAAATAGGGTTGTCGAGCTATCCGAATATGACATTCAATATGCATCGCGCCCCACAATCAAAGGAAAAATATTTGCCGAATTTATAGGTGAAGGCGTTGTGCTAAAAGCCGCTCCAGAAGGGATCTGGGAAGTCCATCTAGATGGCGCGGCCACCAAACACAATGCGGGCGCTGGGATGGTATTGAGAACCCCGATAGGCGCAATTCATGAGCTAGCAATCCATTTCAAATCCTTGAAAATGAAGAACGTGGCTGAATTTGAGGCAATCATCGCTGGGTTGAGAATAGCTAGAGATTTGGGAGCTCAAACCGTATGAGTATTGTCAGATTTGGCTCTCCCAATAAACTAGTTGAATGGTACCTTCGATGTAAAAGAGGAGGCACTCTCACTATACATAGATTAAGTAAAGCAATGGACCACGATGTTTGACTCAGTGACATACATCCAACCGCCACTGACTTCGAAGAGGCACGGTTAGTCTCAGTACAGAAAGATCCTGATGAAATTTCTAGTTATACTTTTTTCCCTCATCCGTCTTTCCTCCCCTCATGATTGCTGGTTGGATAGCGATGTTAAATTAATAGATCATGTCCACGGTGAATTATCGCAAGATCAATTGCACCCGCATAATGCCGCCCATGTCAATACAACACAACAAATGGCGGAGGAAGATTGGTGCATGCCGATCATCCAATACTTGAACAACAACATCGTGCTCGTGGACCCGAAAGAAGCAAGGACGCTAAGGCAGAAAGCATCCCGCTGCATGATGATTGGGAATGACTTGCATTGATGCTCACAGTCCTCCGTGTATCTCAAATTCATGGGAAGCGAAGAGACACAAAGGATGGTGAAGGATTTACATGAGGGCATATGTGCCATGCACAGTGGTGGGAGAAGCCTAGAGCTCACAATCTTGTTGCAAGGATATTAATGGCCCATGAAAAACGGGACACGATAAGATTCGTAGAACAATACCATAAATGTCAAGTTAATGCGTGCTAACACCACGTGTCGGCCACAGAGTTCCAAGGGAACCTAGGCCCATGGTCATTTGCGCAGTGGGGTGTCGACTTGCTGTGACCCTTCTCCAGCGCGAATGGGAAGTGCAAGTATATCATCATAGAGGTGGACTATTTTACCAAGTAGATCAAAGTAGAATCACCACCTCCATCACCGCTTAGCAAGTCACTAGGTTCTTTAAGCATGTCATCCTAACAAGATTCGGAGTTCCTCAATTAATTATCTTCGACCATGGGAAGCAATTCGATTGTCATAGACTTATGTGACAAATGGGAATTATAGCGGAATTCACCTCGGTCACGTACCCACAAGCTAATGGGAAAGCAGAGGCCGCCAACAAAGTAATCTTGGATGGCCTAAACAGCTGCCTGGACGAGGCAAAAGGCAATTGGTCAGACGAGTTACATGCGGAACTATAGGCACACCGCACCACATTCAAGTTAGCCAAGGTGAAACTCCGTTCGCGCTAGCTTATGGCACATATACGGTAATCCCAATTGAAACTGTCATGTCAACATACAGGATCGTTACGTACAATGAGGGGGATAAGGATGCAGCGCGGCTGGCAGACTTGGAATTTGCAGATGAGGGACGAGAACTGGCTGCAATCAGACTTGCGGAAGGAAAAGCAGAAGTGGCCAAGTACTAAAATGCCTAGCTAGTTCCTCACAATCTGAAACTCGGAGAAGAAATACTAAGACGGAATTTCCGACCCAACAGAAGGTACGGAATATTGCAACGAAATGGGAAGGGTCGTACCAGGTCAGAGAAGTAGTTGGCGGCATGCGCGAACACTTTCAAGCTATAGGAACTCAACGGGACCAAGATCCCTAGAACATAAAATGCTAAAAACCTAAGAATTATGGCATGTAATACCACTAGGGCACTATGTGCGCGATTACCACGCAATGTAATGTGGACGTTATAAAGACTCAATGACAAAATCAAACCTACATGAGACAATTTCACGGAATGTATTCGCGACTAACTTATGTACGCCAGTAATCACGTGGAGTACTCCCACAACGGAACTCACAAAATTAATAAACGTGCACGTAATAAGAAAATCAAGAGTAGTTTATTTGGATTTTATAAATAGGAGCGAGGATAAATGAAACAATAGCTCAAAACACAAATGGAGGAAAACGCGATTACACAGGAAAATTTTAGTCATCAATAACCACATTTTCCGTGACACTCGAACAACACTTTTCCTCCTTTTCGGTTCCCGGCTCGGAGTCTGGGTCCACCAGGCACTTCTCAATGATGAAACTCTAAACATGTTTGATCATAAACGTGGTGTTTTAACGCATCCCCGGGTTCGCTGGAAGAAATTTCTTCCGCACTACTACAACGGCATTGGTCATGCATTCAATGAGGATCTTGTGGAATAACTTCTGCCTCTAGCCGAGTCTTTGCCACAACATGACCATTAGCCATCTCCTTCATCTTCCCCTCAAACTCGGCTTGCACCTCATCGCGAAGCGAATCACACTCCTCAGCCCACACACTTTCCTTCTCAACTTCAAGGACTTCAGCAAGAGTGCTTTGCAGTAAACCAAGCTGACCCAAGGATTTACTGGCTTTATTTGTAGCACCCGCTACGTGTGCCTCAGCGGCATCGAACTTCCCCTCCAGTTGGACAACCTTATGCAACTCCACCTTGAGCACATTTTCAATTTGCTACCATTCGTGTTGGGCCCGAAAGGTAGAAATACATGAACCATCAACATATAGCTCAATAGCTTAGCATTTTTATGAATGTGAATTTTACAATATAAGATGAAGCGAGCGGTGGTAGTCAAACTTAAATCAAAATGGATCTGTGTGAGATCACTAAGCGGATCACTCTTCTCCATCCTGGTCGATATACTTAGCGCTAGACCAACAGCGCGTAAAGCACTTAGTGACACTACGACATGCGCTGACATCCCGAAAATTGAGTGGGAGCTAGCGCCTCGATTCTTGGCATGTCCAACAACGTTTGTCGGATTGGCCAGCTAAACTTCCAACCGCCGCTTTATCTGACCCCGACAGCTTACCCCCCCCCCCCCCCCCCCCCCAGGGGTGGGCAAATGGTTCGGTAAACCCGAACTGAAACCAAAACCGAATTAAACCGAACCGAAACCGAATTAATGCTATTTGGTTCGGAATTCGGAAGGAAAAATATGGATAGATCGGAAAACAGGGTTCTTTCAACCGAATTTCCGAATTTCCGACCGAAAAACCGAAATACTATAATTGCAAGCTCCAAATGGTGGATTTTTATGTTTGTAGTTGTTTTTAGACTTAAATATTTGAAATGTTCTAATACTTATGTGTTGAAAATTTTGATTTTGTCATTGATGATGCATATAATTGATATTTAATATTTATATTAGGGATGAAAAATAATTTAAAAGTGAGAAAATACAAGTAGCTTCACAAATTCGGTTTTGGGTGAAAAATCGAACCAAACCAAATTATAATTCGGTTTAAACCGACCGAACCGAATTATAATTCGGTTTGAGGTTTGAGAGAATTCGGGGACCTGGTATTCATAATTTCGGTTCGGTCGAAACCGAACCGACCGAATGCCCACCCCTGCCACCCCGAGGTTCAACCACTTTGACCACATTTTCCGTTGTAGCCTTGATGGCCTTCTCAAAACCACAAGAAGACTTGCTCGCCCTTTCAATCTGAAGAACATGACGATCCTCATCCTTTCGCTTCCTACTAGCGCGAGGCTCCTTCGGACCTTTTGGTACATCCTCTGCATTCATCATGCTCGCCACCGAAGTATAATCGACGCTTGCATAATAGGATTATAAAAGCCCAATTAATATGGCAGAATACAACAAAGGGTTATAGGTATAATATGCCCCTCTACTTTGACGTTTTATCAAACATGCCCCTCTACTATTTTTTACATCAAATATGCCCCTGTACTTTGAAAAAATTATCAAACATGCCCTTCAGTTAAAATTTCGATTGAAAAAATCGTCAATCATGGTTGAATTGAGATTTAGACGACACGACATCGACAAATGGGAGGGAAACTGTCATTTTTGTCCCCTGTTTTATTTCTCTGGGTCTTTTCAAAGTGAAATTATTTGAATTATTTGATTATACTAAAGAACCAAAAAAATTATAAAGTGAATTTATTAGGGATATTTTATTTATTTGTGTCGCCCAAACTAAATTTCGGCCTTGGTTAACGGTTTTTAGATGAAAATTTTAACAAAAGGGCATGTTTGATCATTTTCACAAAGTAAAGGGGCATGATTGATGTAAAAAATAGTAGAGGGGCATGTTTGATAAAACGTCATAGTAGAGGGGCATATTATACCTATAACCCTACAAGAAAAATAAAAAACAAATGACCTTCGCGGTATAAGTCTGCCAAAAGAGATGCGCAGACTCCGACGATGTAAAGGTTAATCTTCTCTTCCAAAAGCGCGTTATATTCAACCTAGCGTTGTCTCACCTCATTACCGGCAGGCAATTGCTTTTACTTTTGGCGGTTGGCTCCTTAATCATATAGAATTTCCGAAATAAGCCATAAGTCGGCGTGATTCCACGCCTTTTACACGTAAGATGGAGTATCAGAATATGCATCATCAATCAAGGAGAAAGTTGCGCAACCGAACACTTAAGCACATGCAGAATGGCACAACGAAGAGGGCTGAGAGGAAACTTTACCCCCATCCTCCAATAGTCAGAGTAGATCCGAAACCACCCTGAGGGAAAATTGCCAATGCGGCTGTGCTCAGTAGGAATAGCGTACTTCCACGACGGATGGTGTACTCGACTCTGTCACTTCTCGCCTCCCAAGATTGAATCTGGACACCTCACAAGCATATCACTAGGGGTGCCTCCCGCATCGAACATTTCCCAATCGAGGATGGTGTACTCGGCCCCGAGACCCGCCATACCCAGTTGGCTCATTGCTTCCGACACGCCAACGATTTCAAGGAGCGAGTCGGAATCCGTCTCCAAAACTTTGACCGACATGATGCCAATAGTTCCAGAGTCGCTCGCACCAACACGACGGAACAAACACACCGCCAAAATCGCCGCCATGAGGGCGTTGCTCCTCTACCTCGGAGGAACTATGAACGAGATCCTTGCAGCAACGTCATACGACGACGTTGCAGGGTACCCTCCGGTACAAACTACGGCGGTGTATTCACTACCGGACCTCGCCATCTCTAGAGATGGATCATATGAAACAAGGAAGAAATAAAAAGATTACCTTCTCCGTCGAAGACAACCTCTATCTTGGAACCATAACAACCAGCGGCCATTGAATCGTGCAGATTGACGACAAAGGTAGAGAGAATGGAGGTCGTGAACAGATGATGAATCATAAGAAGAAGAAGCTTTCCCATACGAGTATCAGAGAGTGATGGTAGAAATAAGAAAGGGATGGGGGAATAACTCTTTTATACACTGACAAAGAAGGTGAACCGACAAAGGGGAACATCGGAAAGAGCGCTACCATCAAATCACGAAATTCTAAATTTGCAAATCAAACTAGCCGCCGAAACGAGTGAACACAAGTAGCCACATCACCAAGGTAGACAAACCAGCACAAGGAGGATAGGCGGCATCGTGGACCCAGTCTGCACACCGCCTCGGTGGCAACAGGGATCAATACCTTGACGTCCAGTAACCGCGGCAGGAAAAAAAACGCACATTTATGTCACACCACCCACACCCGCGGAACTAGCATCTAGAAGCGCAACAAAAGTTAAGAAGGGAAAAGGAAATTGTCCTATCTACAAATGCCCAACCGAGTCTACAACGGAAAGGACCACACCGCGCTTGACTAGTCCGTGGAAACGTGAATGGAACATTCGCGGATGGTAATGTTGCCATCGTTCTCTAAAAACGGAAGGCACTTATTGTTTGGCTTAGTGTTCGTATCAAACTCTAAAAATAGGTTTTTTTGCAATTGAATCTTTTTTTACCTCAAAGGGAGTGCAGCCAGCCTATCCATCATAACATAATATAGGAAAGTACGCCCTATCCCCTGTAAACTCTGAACGAATGCTTAGTTAGCCGTGAACTCTTGTTGCTTGTAGGCAGGTAGCTCCATGTAAGGTTAGCTCGAAAGCGAGTTCTTACTCTTTGATCTTAGGGGAAGAAAGCTGTGATTACTGGGGGTGAGGTTGACCTTCTTAAAGACCGATCCCCTTAGAGTTGGTAGCTTCTAGCAGCAGTGGGATCAGTGTGAGACAAGATGTCAAGCCATCGGGATGACCGGTTGTATTACGCATCAAGGTATGGCTTTCTCTTGTTCTCTTGTTCTTACTGTGAGATCTTTCTTTTTATTTCTTAGCCAGATGAAGAATAGATATAATATTCGTCTTTATTGTATTTGCGGAAGTGAGGTGAGCCCCTTGTTTTGTCTGTCATTTGAGTCGAGAAACTCAAGTTGTTGGCATTTTTATATTTTCAATTTTTACCTTTTGAATATCCTAGCCCTTATCTCTAAAAGGGCTTACTCCACTCTCTATTTCATATCCTCCTCTGGTCACTGGTATAGATGATGACCGGCTTTCCTCCCTTTTCACACTGAAAGGCACCTCTGTTAAGGGTGTACATGGGTCGGGTGGTTCGGGTTTAACCATTTTAATCACCCGACCCATGCACTACGGTTTGGAAATTATCAAATCCAAATCCACCCAAAAAAATTAAAACCCTACGGTTTGTTTCTAATTGGGTTGGGTCGGGTTGGCGATATTTTTAAGTAAAAACCCAACCCAACATAAAAATATATAATTATTATACACCATAAAAATATTTTATAACTAATTAAAATTTCAAACGAATAAACCGAGGTGAAAGCTATCAAAATTCAAAAATGTTGTTTGAATTTTAATAAAATGTGATTTACTTCAACATATGTCTAGTTTTTTTCACGATATTTGTTGAAATAGGCTAAAAAGGTTATAAACAAACGCATCCATAATATGTTATTCTATTAAAATTGTACACAAGAAAAAGGATTACGTGAATCATAACTATACTCAATTTATGTCTAAACTTTAAGTCGAAGAATGCATTAGATTAGGGAGACCATGATAGAAAAACATGGCGAAATATCTTAATTTTCTCATAAGTATTGCTATATACGACACAAATATTTTTTAGATACGAACTCATACTAATAGTTGGAACACGGGTTGGGTCGGGTTCTACGGGTTGTGTAATCCAAACCCAACCCAAAAGAGGCGGGTTGTACAAAAGAAAACCTTCACCCAACCCAAAACCTTCGTTTTAGCGATAAATACGGGTGGGTTGGGTCGGGTTGGACGGGTGGGTCGGTTTGCGGGTGTGTTTGTTCACCCCTAACCTCTGTCCTCCGGTGTCTAATACCCTTATGTAATTGCACTCGTAACTTCTTTTTCTTCAATTTATATTGCCTTGAGAAGCCTAATTATTTGTACCTCTATCGAGAGTAACCTTGGGACCCAATATAGCTTTCTCTAGTTGGGTACGTACGGCTGTTCCTGCAGAACATAACCTCAGCTTCATTGTCACAGAAGGGCTAAGGAACAACTCTATCATAAGATAAATTAATCGAACTGAAGTTCGGGCGGTTATTTACTTTCGTTTGGGCCATGCTGATTAGTCCGACAAAGATCTGGTCTAGAAGCTTCAGTTTAAAACGGTAGAGCACCGGTCGGACTTTTTTTCCCAGGCCCCAGCAAACACCCTCTCGCCGTGACCCCAACCTTATTTGAGGCATGTTGGGCTTATAAAAAGGTAGATTTTTTTTTTGTATTCGTGTGATTAAACAACAAGGGTGTCTGCTTCTTTTTTTGTGATCAGTGCGCGGGCTCTAAGGTCGCAGGCTCAACCTAAAAATAAGTATAACTACTCGCATCCAAACTAGAAAATCCTCAAGGGTCCATCTTCAATTAGCAGACGATTGTCGTTCCCTTCTTCTTGGTCACTGGAGATTGAATTCCTTTTGCAGCTATTCCATATGGGTGGGGATGGATAAAATCCTAGGGCATTAACCTCTCTGGGAAGCCGGGCCTTTTACATAGCCATCATTGGATCTTTTTTCGAAGAAGCTGCTAGAAAATAGGCCGCTACTTTTTTAGGGGTACATATTTGCTAACTGTTCAATTAACCAGTCTTCTGTTTGCAATTGAATGCGTATCACCTGTGATTGAATCTGTAAGCACTGCTAGGGACAATTGTTGGGGATATGGCGCGGTTATGCGCTCACACAACCGTGCTACACGACGCCAGCGCGCTTACGAAGTTGCGGGGAAGAAGGTGGTTTAAGACATTATCGTGGAACGAAATCCTCCAAACGACAACGTTCCCACAGCCTAACACACGGTCACATCACAAGCATGGCCGTCAGGATATGCACCTGCCGGTATTGTTGAATGTCATGTCGTATTTAATGTCCAGAGACCTATAACTAGAGCATTTACTCCAGTGGGTGAGGGATCAATTTTTAGTTTCTCCTAGAACTTTGAGCTTTCTCCCTCTAGAATTCTCATTCTCCTCTGCAATCCGGCCAAGGAATACAACGGAAGTTTACGTTTCTCCCTCGCTCATAACCCCTTACCCTCGTGTCTCACTTCTACAGTCAATTAGACACAAACAATATTCATTCCCAACAAATCTATCGCCGTTGAAATGTTATGTTCGATGCTCTTGCCTCCAGATCGCATTGGCGGGAAAACACAAGAAAGGATAGATTTTAACAAGTAACATCACTCACTGGCGGGAAAACACAAGAAAGGATAGATTTTAACAAGTAACATCACTCACTGGTAAATATACAGTTAAGGAAAACCTTGTTCACCTTGACAAAATTCGTAATCAGGAAATGTTGTTACATTTAGTGCAACAAGAGCAGTAGACATACAACATCAAAGATGGTTGAGGGCAGAACAAACTCTGCTCTCGCCACTCCCTAGTTTTCAGTTGCCAATGAGATTCCAGATTAATAAGCAAACACTTCAACTAAACAAACCCGACTTTGCCCTCAGGAAAGGAAAGAAAACCCCAAATGGCCCATATGTTCTGATGTCCAAAAGGGACAAAGCCAGAGATCTAAGGCTGCAAGATCATGCTACTCCATTCTCCACACTTCGCCTGCATTTACCCTGACTCATGAGTTCGTCAATACAGCACCAGATACTCACGTACACACTCCTACGTCTGGTTCGCATCTCCAGTAAACCAGGGGAGCCCGGGCTGAAGACATTGCTTTGTCTCGGGAAGTGGTACAATCGGCCCTAGAAAAAGTCGCCACAAGTCGAGTATTATTGTAACCAGCATTGCAGCTCCAAGCGCATCAACAGCTACCCTTGGCAAGTCCCATGCATCACCTGGTTTCTCGTCAATCCTGTACACAAGAGCAAGAAAATTCCCAATTATGGCTCAGGTTACATGGAATAAAGGAGTTATCAGAATCAGCATCATCATTCTCAAAAATTTTGAAAACATCTGCCAACACTTCGTTTTTGTCCTTGTCTTGTTGCTGTTGCTGTTGCCCATATCATAGTTGGAGCAGTTAGGTGCTTGCCTGAATCCCTATACTTTATTACTACGTATTTTACTGAAATGCATACTGTAAAAAGTAAATGAATTGAAAAAGGAGAGTCTATTGGGGTAACTAGTGCTCAGCAATAACAGTAAAAATCCATTTTGCATCTCAAATGTATTTGCAATTCCACTTCTCACCTCAGAAACATAGGGAAGCTAACGATGAAATAGATGGCATAAAACAAGCACCCAACTTTGTACATGGCTTCTCGGTCCACAAAGTCATAGTAAGGGAACTGCAAATGACCAAAAGCATAATGTTATTAGTAGTACACGCTACAATATTCGAGCAATCACTTCACCATTAATCAATAGATCATCAGCATTCACTGGGTTCGCAACCATGGGAGATGTGAACCATTTGTAACACTTACGTTGGCAATGGCAATTGTCTCCAAGTATGCAATGAAATAGGAAAGAGCCAAAATCCAAGATGCCTCGAATGCCCACCGAATTGGGCCTGGCAAATCGACAGTAGCATGCCGTAGCCTCCGAAGTGTCATGTTCGAGGTGACATGATAGAAAAGAAAGCAAACATGGGTCAATAGAAAGGTTGTGTGTGGAACCTGCACAATACACCAAAAAACAAACTTAGCTAACTGGTACTATGGTCTATATATAAGACGAAACAGGAGTGCATTAAGCTAATGACTCACATTATTCATCTTCCAGGATGGGAATGTGTACTCAGCTCCCAGCACAGTAAAGAAATAGTGGGTCCAAAAGTAGTTTCCAACATAGCTAAAAATGATTATCCACAGGCTTGCCTGCAACAATGGCAAGTTAATCAGCCAAGGCCCAAGGGCATTAAAACTCTTTCACCGGAATAAAATTTATCATTCGTATGTCTAAAGGACTGCATAGGGTTCACTACATACTGAAGCATTGAAGAAACCAGGGACAAGCTACAGAGTTTCAATCAGGTAATTAAAGTAACAGTTCAAATACCATTAAGAAACAGGGTCCCAATCAAACAAAATAAATAAACAATCTTTTCATAAGACACTACACCAATCTAGCAACTATTTTGGCAAAGCACTTGCCTTAACCCAATAGCGATCCTTCAGTGCCAAGCTTCTATCGGCCTGCAAAAAGATCATAAATAGCTTGAATGCTCAAGGACACATTTGTATGGATGGGGCAGAAAAGAGAGAACGGGGAATAGAAAGAGCAAGAGAAATTCACCTTTCCAACAAACAATGCTGGTATCAAGATGGCAGGAACTGCAGATACCAAGCCCACAAGCAAATATTCCAACTCGGCAAAGCTCTGCCAAAGAGAGTCTATTAACACTAGCTTTTTTTGCGAATATTTTATACTCGATCCAATTAGCAGATTAAATTGATGATCAAAGTCGAAAGATATGCAGATAATGCGGAGTTACAGTGAACACAGAATCTAAGAGCCTCCAAACTCAGCCAAACTGACGTTCTTTCTGTAACAAACTAAAGAGTCTAGGCCACAAAAGGCTCAGTCTTTCCTCTGCCCTTAATCAAGGTATTGGATCAAGTTTCAGAAATTCAAATTCTCGACCCGTTCGGATGAAGAAGATGTAAAGGGAAAAACGAATCGAAGAAGGGACAGTTGTGAGATTTACCTCGTAGAGCTTGTAAGGGACGATAATGCCCAAACATAGAGTGAGCCAGAAAGGAGTATAGAGAAGGAAGAAAAGCTCCGCCCACCTCTTGCTCCTGTTTGAAGACAGCCATAAGCTAGTGCTAGTGGAGCGAGTGGAAGCCGGCTTCTTACCTGAGAACCGCCCGTCGCCATATTTCTCAGGATTTGATAAGAGCGGAACGAATATCATCGCAAATCGCAATAAAAAAGACGAAGCATTGATCGTTTTGGAAGACAAGAAACAGCAAAAGGAAACCCCAAAAAGTTGAGAGAAAATTATAGGATTCCGTTACCACCCATATTTGGAAGTAAGCGACCGGGAATGGAGTCGACAAAGACGGATCTGAGGGCTAGTCAGTCCTCGGAATGAACTCCGGTTAAGCGCATCACTGAGTCACCGATTCGCCGGCAGTGACAGTGCCCGCCACTACTTGAACTTACTTACCTGTGGACTGTGGACTGGACAGACCGACACCCCTCCCCCTCGAAGATATCGCCTTGCTTTGCTCCAAGCTCCCAGCCTCCCACCAATAATATATAGATAAAAAAAAAATTAAGCAAACCTATTTGTTATTTTTTTTTTCGAAGAAGGCCATGTGCGCTCGCGGGAACCTTGTTCCAATTCCTATACATACTCAGGCAAAGGACAACAAGAGCCCCAAAGCCTTTACCCCTTTCCCTTTATCATTAAAGCGTTATGGTTTTCACCATGAGCAGGCAAGCGATCGAATCCCGAAGCAAACAGACAATGGGCTCGATGAGAACCGTATCGACCTGTTCTGTCTACTCCAACCACCGGCGAGGAGAGGTTGGGAGCAGGAGCAGCCGCCAAGTAGAGCGACAAATCGCCAGGGAGACAGACGGTTTCTGCTTTTTGGTGTGATTTAGTTTAGGGGTGCTTTTATTTTAATAAATTGATTTGGGACATAAATAATTAAAACCCAAATTAGGAATGTTAAAAAGTAAATGAGGGGTATTTGAGTAATTTTACAGCTCGTTTAACAGTTACTTAACAAAAAATTAATGGAAGAATAAGCTCGTTACGTTTTAATATTAGAAGAGTATGTTTGTACAAAATTTTAGTAGAGAAGTACGTTTGTTAATTTATCATAGTAGAGAGGTAGAAAATGATATTTTTTTATGGTTAATCAAAATTGTATTGAAGCCTGAGGAGGTGCAACTTGCAACCTCCCTCTCAAAAGTGTCAACTCATTACAATCACCATATCAATTCTATACTAAGAGGAACAAACAAAAAAAAGACTATATCTCTATAATCCCAAGAATCCGGTAACCATCTACTGTAAAGAAACAGTACTAGTAGAATAAATTTGAAGTTCTTGCATTACTTTTGCTGAGACTTGGAAAGGGTCAGAAATACCCCGAGCACCATATATGCGAGTACAACATTCTCTCCATATGTATGCACAACTCATTGTACACAAAAGCCTCCCAACTTTGGCCTTCGAATCAGTACTTGACCACCTCTGTGCCACCCAGCTCAATTGGGATTGCCAATCCTATAACAAGGGCCACCTGCAAATTTTCTGAAGCACTGTCCGCAACACTGCATTGCTGTAAGAACAAGCACTAAATAGATGATCTCTGCTTTCAAACCCTACTGGACAAAGTACACAGTAGTGATCACAAGATACTCCCCAACTGAGTAGCTTATCCTTAGTAACAACTCTATCAAGGATAATTAACCATAACAGAAGACTATGCTTGGAGCTAAAAGGTTTCCCCCCATATAATAGAATAGCAATCAACAGGAGGAGAGGGGTTTCGGATAGAAGACCATATCATTTTGACAGAGTATTTATGCAAGACATTTCCATCCCAAGCAAGAGTGTTACCTGTCCCTGTAATGTGAGGCTGAGCATGCACTCTGCACTTGAGAACCTTCTTCCACACCCATGAACTTACTGAGCTAGCAGAGAGGGTCCAAACATCCCTTCCTTTGATTCTGTATTTTTGTATCCAAGTAACCCATAAAGACCGTGCCTAAGCAAGCAAATTCCAAAGATGTCGAATAATGCATGCTTTGTTCCATGTCTTAAAATCCCTGATCCCTAACCCCCTTCTTGTTTTAGCAAAGAAACTCTTGACCATGCTACTGGTGCACGTTTCCTTCCAGTTTCTGAACCAACCCCCCACAAAAATTTATTGCAAGCTTCCTCTATCAACTTTAGAACCTTCAGTAATAGCAGGAAAACAGACATCAAGTATTGAAAAACACTTGTTATGACTGAAGAAATTAACTGCAACATTCCAGCATAACTAAGCATTTTTGCTTGCCAGGATGTGATTCGTTTAGTAATTCTCTCCACCAAGATACTACAAACATGATTTGATAACTTCCTAGATAAAAAGTGGTACCCCTAAATACCTTACTAGCAGCTCTCCCAATGGAAACCCTGTGTAATCCGGGATCCACTTCTGTTCTTCCTTTGAGATACCAGCACAAAATAACTGACACTTTGCTAGATTGCATTTCAATCTAGAAACATGATAGAACCTATCAAGTAACCGCGTAATCCCAGCAACAGCTCGAATTGAACCATTGGACAAGACTAGGAGGTCATCGGCAAAGCAACGATGTGTGATTTCCAAACCTTTGCATCTAGTATGATATGGAATGGAATCACAAGACACATCCTTAGCTATCATGCAGGAGAAAACCTCCATGGAAATTGTGAAAAGGTAAGGGGACAAAGGGTCCCCTTGCCTCAACCCTTTCCCTGCTGAAAAATAGCCACAAAGGCCTCCATTGAAAGCAACACTCAGCATAGGAGATGTGACACAAGCCTCAACCAGCCTAATGAAACTAGGGGGAATATTCATAGCAGTCATAACTTTCAACAGAAACCACCAGTCCACATAATCAAATGCCTTCATTAAATCAATTTTCAACACACACATCTAGATGAAATATTGGCTTTATGATAATCCTTAACCAATTATGTTGCCATAAGAATGTTGTCACTAATAAATCTCTCTTACAAAAGCAGATTGACTATTCCCTATGAGTTTTGGTAAAACTAGGGAAAGCCTATTAGCTAGCAGTTTCGAGATCCCTTTGTAAACAACATTGCAACACGAAATTGGCCTCAAATTATGCATTCTATCCACTACAGATAGTTTAGGAATGAGAGCAAGTATGGTAGAGTTTACCTGCCTTGGCATTATACCTATCCTGAAAAATTCAAGCATAGTGTCCTTTACTAGGGGTGACAAACGGTAAGCCGGTAAACGGTTTACCGTTTTACCGAACCGATAATCGGCGGTACACGGTAAACCGTTTACCGGCAGTATCGACAGCTGAGGGTCAAATGGAGAAGCTCGGTTTACCGGCCCCAATATCGGTAAATACCGACAGTAATTCGGAAATACAGATACCAGACCAATTAAGGCATTAACATATAACATATACTTCATTATTCACAAATATTACATACATGAATGGAAGTAAGTATGTATATGCCTCAAAAATATTATATAAAGAGTTAATAGTAAATTATTAATTACAAAAATGAAGAAAAAAACTCAGAAAAATCAAAATATTACAACATCGCCCCACTACCCAAAAATTCGGTTCGGTAATTTTCCGGTAAACTGAACCGAAAAACCGTCCGCAACTACTCCTTACGGTAAGTCGGTAAAACCGGTTTGTAACCGTTTACCGGTAATTCGGTAATCGATAAACCGGCTACAAACCGGTATGGATAATCGATTCCCACTTACCCACACTCGGCATACCGAAAACCGGTTTACCGGTTACCAACCGAATACCACCCCTATCCTTTACATCCCTGCCAACAATAGCCCAATCATGCTTAAAAAAATATGTTGGATAGCCATCCGGCCCTGGAGCCTTATCATTTCCCATAGCCGTAAGGACTTTCTTAATTTCCTCCTTAGTAACAACAGAACTCAAAACTGACAAATCATCTTCACCAAGCTTATGCACGAGCAGGTCACTAAAGAAAGAGAGAGGGGTATCTTGCACAAGTGGGTCAGCTCTACCCAACAAACCCTTTTAAAAATCTACAAACATCTGCCCCATAGCCTTCATCTCTGTGATAACTTTGCCATCATCATTTATCAACTTTTGAATAGTTTGCCTGTGATTACGAACTTTGACCATACTGTGGAAATACTTTGTGTTAGAATCCCCTTCAGTAACTCTTCTAATTCGTGACTTCTGCCAGTAAACTTGCTCTTCAGCCTGTTGGAGACTTTTGCAAACAACTTCCTGCTCTAAAATATCTTTAGAATTCTGCTCAAAGGGATCATCTAACACAACTTGCTGCATAATCTCAAGTTTAGTCTCAGCCTCCCTTGCCCTTTGAGAAATCTCAGAATACTGCTATTTGTTTAAACTCTTCATTTTTAACTTCAACTTTCTCAACCTCTCATACAATTGGAAATAAGGAACTCACTCAACATCAATTTGCCAAGCATCCTCTAACAGACTCTGATACTGAGGATGCTGCCTCCAGAATGTAAAGAACTTGAAAGACTTCGGCAATGAGTTAACCAATGGATCAGTGTGCACTAACGGGAGACAGTGATCAGAGACTCCAGGGGACAAGGTTTTAACCAAACTATCCTTAAAATTATCCAGCCACTGATCATTTACCAAAGCACGACCAATCCTTTGAGCAAGGGTTGCGGTGGCAGAGCCAGGCAAGTAGTCGCATTAAAATTTGACAGGGTTCCGAGAAGCTCAGAGAGGAGTTAGAGTTAAAGTTAGTTTCTTTATTTTTGTTCACGATTATGGGTATATAAACTGGAGATTCGAGGTTTTGAGTTTGGGTGGTTTTGTTTACCATGGATTTGGGTTGCCCCACTATTTAGGGCATTTTATTTGAATTTCTTGTGGAAAATACTTTGATTATTTATTTTATTGAGATTTTTGGTCACTTTTTTGGTCGGCTCCGAAGCCATGACTATTTCGGTTTATTTAAAAGTATCGGGTCGTTTCAACTTATGTCTGTGCACCAACCATACATTAGATGAATGCCAGGTAACGATGGAAGCTACTACACCTCAGGAGTAGGTAGATTTTGTAGCAAATGCTAGAGGTGGAAACCCCTATAGTAACACCTACAACCCAGGGTGGGGAATCACTCCAAATTTCGCGCGATCTTCACCAACGAATCCTAGGCCATCCAGATTTCAGGCTCTAGTTGGAGGCTTCTAGCAAAGATCTTCTTTCAGTTAACATCGTCAGTAACACCAGGCTTAGTACTTCCAGCAACAACAACACCCTTAGAACTTCTGGTGGTGTTCGCTCTTTCAAAAGAGCAACCCTCCTATCTTAGAACGAGACCAACATACAAGGGATATGGTGCCTCTAGGTCTGTTTTCTCTATCACTGGTGCCATTTCCTGTGGGTGTTCTAGTGTCTCCATTTCAATCAAAGAACACCATGAACCCCTCTCCATGGCTGGCTAAGTTCTTTAGTTGCGTAGGTATTTGAACCCTAGGGGTTCTAACCATGTAAACATAATTTTTGTTTTAATACAATTGTGTTTATTTCATCTATCATTATTTGTCGATTCAAATGATATCTTAAGTCGACCTTGCGCTCATTCCTTTACTATGGACTGGTGAGTGAGTTGGGGTCAGTTTACTCTCTTACGTTTAAAACCTCTAGTACTTGAGCACTTCACTTAAAGGATAAATACAATATAATAGCCAAACCTTTTATTTTAAACAAAATAATAACCAAACCTTTTCAAAATATATTTAATAGCTAAACCATGAAGCTCACCCCATCAGCTCACCACGAGGTTATGGTGTCCAGACCTCGGTCGTGCACCTGGTTGAAGGTCTTCGACAGAAACAGCGGGGTTGGGGGCCTCGTGTAGAATCGCTAGCGGCTTTGGAAGAGATGGAGGAGGAATCTCAATTACTATCGTCGTTGTCGCCAATGACTCATCGGAGACTGGCTCCGCCTTGAATTTGAATGACTGCGGGAATTCCTCGAAGAATTCCATCAAGGGAGAAGCCAAAATGGGGATGCCCTCCATAACCAAACAGCCACGTGGCGTTTTGGGTATGTCTTCAGGCTTTGTTTTGGATCCACAAATGGAGACACAAGTTAATGACAGGCCACGAGCCTTTCTCAACAATAAAGGGGAAGTGGGGGAAGAAGAAGGAGAAGGGGATCGACGGGGAGTTTGGTTTTTGTTCTATTGTAGCGACGGGCTGGGTTTCGCCGAAGGATAGGGTATGGAAGGGATTAGACGAGAGAGAGAGAGATTCGAATAAAAGCTATCATTTTTCTATTTAATTTTTTAAAATTAAAATATTTAATATGTAAAAAGAATGTAATTTCCACTTGGCACAAGGTCAAACGTTTGACTTCCAGCCACTTAAGCAAAAACCATCCAGCTCACTTAATACTTTGACACGTGAGAGTCAACTGGCAGTCAATCGGATGGAAAGTTATCTGTTTGACTATTATTTTGTTTAAAATGAAAGTTTTGACTATTATATTGTATTTATCCTTACTTAAAATAAACTTAAATATGTGGAAGTTGTTGGTACTTTCACTCTTAAAATCCTAAATGTGAAATCTTGACTTAAATATTTGACTGACACTGGGATCCCTCACTAGCTAGTCTGGTTGCCCAACTCATACGTATGATAGCCATCCAGACTTTCCTTAAACTTAACATTATCGTGGAAGTCGCAACGATTCATCCCCACGATTCTCAAGAGCATAACCGTTGCACATCCAAAAAATCTCAAGTGCATAATTGCTGCTCATCTTAAAAATCTCAAGAGCATAACTGCTACTCATCTTAAAAGTATCAAGAGCATAACCGCTCCTCTATCTCAAAATCTCAACCAACAACAGACTGGCACTAGTGACTTAAACACTTAAAACACTTTACCTTCACTGAAGGTGTAGTATTTCTTAAAACAAAACTTGTTTCTTAAACTTGAACTTACTTGTATGTAAAGCATGAAATAACAAAAAACTGAAAGCATACTCACAAAAACTCATATGGCATCATATAAACATACAAAGGCAAGTATTACACATACCAATCAATCTAAAAAACTTAAATACTGTAAGACGTACAATTTACCCCCTTTGCAATCACCTTATTTTTGTTGAGACCGAATTAGATTCGGCTTTTTAATTTCCAAAACTCGTTCCTATAATATTCTCCTCGCTTCTATGATTCCATAAACAAAGATGGTTCCTCATTTGGACGTCAATTAATCGAATTACGGCCAAAATAAAAATTCTCTCAATTTTCAAAGTACTAGGTATCGAATTAGTAATTTTCCAGTCAACATGTTTGACCACGACCTCTCTGAAAAATTACAGAAGTAGTCCACCAACTTTTTGAATTGCCAAGAATGGTACCTGAATTGACGGACTTTTGTTCTAAACTTCCGATGCTCGTTTCTTCCTCGTCCGATGTCGAAAATAAGTTTTGTCAACATGTTGACGATCTTGAGATCACCCTCTTTGCAATTGTACCCACCTTTTGAAATATGTTGAATGTTTAAAATTTTGGTTTTTCCGGCGAAGCTTCGACGAGGCTTTGGACGACCTCTAAACCGGATTTCGACTACGTGGGAGGAATTACCTTCTCCTGATCAAAACCCGGTGCTTAGAATCCTTCCTTTCCCTCTCTTTCCTTTTTCTCCCTTTCTTCCTTCCTCCTCTGTTTTGTATTCGAACATAATGAAAACTTCACTCCTTCTATCTATCTCGTTGGCATCACCTATGGATGTGATAAGCCGTCAATTGTACATGTTATTTCCCACTAATCTTGAATCGTTTGAGAGTCGATTCTCATGTTTTAAGCCGATATCAGGCTAAGGTGTTCTTGTTGGTGATATTTCAGGTCCTAGTACGTGGATGAAGGTTTAGGCACGCGTTTGGGATCGATTGGACGAGGTTGGGACATTCGAGGGGAAGCTGAGGAGTTTATGCGGCCTGGACATAATTCCACACGGCCGTGCGAATTGGCTGTGTGAGAGGGTTTACGCGGCCAAGATCGTACGTCCCATGTAAGGCACCTTTTTGGCTGTGCGGGATATCTAGGGGGTTTACACGGGCATGTCTCAATTTTACACGGCCGTGTGGTCTGGCCGTGTGACTCCCCTTGACCAACTAAGTGCAATGGCACGTTTTGGAGTTACACATGCAGATTGGACTTTCACACGGCCGTGTAATCAGGTAGAGCTTGGTTTTAACCCAATTTCAAAGCTTTGAGAAGGGATTCAAATTCTGGAGCTAAAAACAAATGTTTAGAGAGAGAAAGTGACGAAGAGAGATCCTTGAGTTCCCTAGATCAAGTCCCACACCATTGGAGCTCGATTCAAGCCTCGAAGAGCGACGATTGACGACCCAGTGTCGATTTCTTCCGTCTACAAGATGATTTCCACTATTGGCATAGCTTTTCTCTCTCTCTCTCTCTCTCTCTCTCTCTCTCTCTCTATCTCTCTCTCTCTCTCTCTGGAGTAATCCCCTCTATCACTTGGGTATGTAAGAACCCTAGATTGTATGTTAGGATGATTTGTTTGAACCCTTGCCTTGAATGATTGATTGAATTATATTCAATTGAAGTATTTTCACAGAATTACTTGAATCCTGATCAAATTCTAGTGATTCCTGCTTTGACCTAGAAAGATAATCCCTGCATAGGTCAATAGAGCACCTTGAATTGAAGGTAGTGAATCAACGACCTAAGTCGAGAAGTCGATTCCTGCTCAGTACTAGTTTAGAACCCAGTATAGGAAGTTTGATTTTTATTGCCTCGGTTAGCTTACAGTGGTGGAAGTTAGTCGCCCGCCGGGTATTCTAACTAAGAGGGTTTGGAGCACTTTAGTCGAGACTCTAGACTATTTGAGAACTTTATGCGGTTTAAACGTCAATCAAGTTGGTTTAGGTGAATTACAACTTGGTCTAACTACAATATAGGGGGACTCATACCTGAGTGAGCCTTATTAACTTGAATCACAACTTTCCTGCTTTGTGTTTGCTTAGCTTAGTTACAACTTCACTACAGTTAAACTGCTAGATAACAAGAATCTCACAGAGTACTCATCACATCTAGGACCCGGGTTGACAAATAAAGCTAAACCTGTTATACTACACATTAGTAGGTGGTTACACTTGGCCACTTTCTTGTGTGACTGTAAAAGCGAGTCAGGATGCCTCATAGTTGATGATTGGTTCATGGTTGCATGGGGTAGATGGCGACGACGAGGGGTTTGGGTTGAATACTGGCGCTGACGCCTTATGGTAACTGCGCGGGAGCAGGAGGACGATCGGACGCGTCGGCTGCTCATGCTTCTATCTCTCAAGGAAGGAAGAAGGGTGATCGGCTGCTGCTGCTTGGTCTCGTCGCCTGGGGAGAGGGATGCGGTTGGTGCTGCAGTTCGTCGAGCGGGCAGGGAAAGATGGTGATGGGTTTGACGGCGGGGAGCGGTGATACGGGGGAGGAAATTGATTGCGAACGTTTATGGGAAATGGGGTAATGGTCGGGGAAGATTAAGAGATTTGGAAATGCACCATTGGCCACAATTAGATGCCATGTATTTGATCGTTTGACAGGGTTCCCTTATGTGGTGTAATGGTATTGATTCCTTAAACATGGAGATAGATTGATGAAGAAAGGTGGGGTGTGTACTTGGGAGAGAAGGAGTAGTGCTCACTTAGGTTTGTTCTTTCTTTAAGCTTATTAAGTAGTTGGTGATAATTAATTGGGTCTTGGTCCGTTAACCCAACCTAACCATTAATTGTCGATCTAGCTCAAACCCAAAAGTTGGGGCGTTACAGGACACCTAGGGGAAGATTTCCTATGCAACGCCTTCATTATTCGATCTCTTTATCGTCCAACGTACCCTTAGATTTACTTTTCTACACCGCGTTACTTCGAACTCTTACGTTCTGCAAAATCACAGACACCTCAACCTCCTAAACATACCTCTTCTTCAATAGAATCGTACATCACTTCCGAAGTAAGGGTTCTGCAAGAGCCCTAGAAAAATATAATTCTGGCTTTAGGGCCAGGTAAATTTGGTTCACACTACAATCGACGGTCAGAAAGGAAGTGCCAGAGAAGAGAGAGATGTGGTACGACTGGGTTGGGAAAAGGAAAAGAGGGAGAGACTTGTGTGCGGCTGGATGGGAGATAGAATTAGGGTTGCTTTTATATGGTTTGGAATCTACTAATTGGAACCCTAAATGTTTATTTATCACCAAAATGATACCAATGAACTTAATTTTCACAAACAGGGCAGGACGGAACGGGGCGGGGCATTGTCTTTTCCCTTGGCAATCCTGTTTTGAATTACCATCACTAGCTACTACTCCCCCAATTTTTTTTCAAAAATAATTATCATCGCTTCTTCTCCCTTGCTGCCATCCTCGTTTCCCTTTCATAATCCCTAGGAGGTCGCTTGAATGAATCTCAATCGAATGGAACTTGTTTTAAATCCTTCGCTGTGTAAATGGTGAGACTTGTATGAAGAAATTTACATAAAGATTTTGGAGGCATTGCAAAGGAAAGAAATTCTTTCAACTTCGCTTCTTACTATTGAAAATAGGCCAGACGAAGTAATTAAAGCTCAATGCAGATGGAACTCTCTTGAATCTAAGCCTCACTATCCTCTTAGAGCGTTACAAGGAATTTAGGGCACGCCCACATGACAAAATTAACAACTGAAGAGGAGTGAAAGTTGTAAATTCTTTGAACTTGTCAGTAGACTGGCCTTTCCTTGGCGATTGGATCTGTGAGTTCAATCAAATTGGATGTGGTATCATAATTTATAGGAATGGTTGCTTTTAGATATGATAAGTGATCCCCCCCTCTTTCTTAAGTCCTTTAGATTTTGATGGCATAAACATGACATTAGATTTTATCCTTAGAGAAGCAAGTGAAGGGGCAAGCAAAGCCATACAAATTCATAAGAGAGTCCTTTTTTATTCAAAGAATAACCCCAAATCCATTCTTTTATTTCCTTCCACGAAATGGAATTAAATGGGCCGCCTGTTTTCCTTGGCCCTATGTGCATCTGCTCACTAAAAAACAAAAAAGGAAGGACCGAATTTGGGCTCCTGTCTTGCCTATCAGCTTGGCCTTGTCAGCCCGATGTCATACACTTGACTTGGGCCTTCGATTGTGACCATGGATCGAGTGATAAATCCTAGGAGTGTCTAAGGTCATATTCACAGGGTATTTCAATAGTAGCTACTCAAAATCAACCACCTTGTATTCAAATAAGAAAGTAAAAACAATAAAGTAAATTATGTGGGTTGCAGTGCTTTTTAGTTGAGTTCTAAACTGCTAAACAAAAAAGAAATGAAAAACAATGCAAGGAAACAAGAAATGAAAAAGACTAATATTTACGTAGTGATATCTTGATGATCATCCATAGTAACTCATTAATGAGTACTACGATGCATTATCTATTAATGATGTCTTATTCCTTCCACTAAGGCCATCCTACTCAAGCTTTCGCCACATGCAATAGGAGCTTGACTAGCTAATGTGTACTTTCACTTCATGCCATCACCTAATCAATGAAGAACAAGGAATTTAGGATAGCATATGGTTAAGTGTGGACCTCTTAAGCCATAACTCATAGATATAACATTGATTATCTAAGAATCAACCATTGATATCATGTAAACATGCATAGATGCGTCCAACTAAACAAACATACACATAATAGAATCATAAACATCGATGATCTAAAGCATAAAATAACAATAGCATTGAATAACTCATGCAATAAATGATACAAGGATAAATTGACATCAAGCATTGATCATAGAGACATGAAACACAATAGGCATTATCATTAAATCATTGATAGTAGATGCATAAAGCATCAAAAGAATTCACTTCCCTAAACAAATAACGCTAGCACGTCACAGGTCTTCCTTCTAAGCTAAGGAAATTGTATTCCTTTTGGGATAAGGAACCCTTACAAGCCCATCCAAGTCTTCATTGCCGCCACCTTCTTCTCCCTTCATCTCCGTTCAATCTCTCAAACCCTTATTCTCTCTTTGTTCTCCCTCCTCGTATTCTAACAATACAATGGACTTTCCTTTGAGCTGGTCCACATCCATATAATCAAAATGACGATCCAAATAGGTAGCAAATTCCTCTCTAGCTTCTTAGCCCTTAGACATGTGATTGGACCTTCTTTTGAAGTTGTAGGCTTGATTTTGATGACCTCTTAACCAATATACTATAACATTATTATTATTATGTCAGAAAATTTCCTTTAATGTGTCTATCCATAATACATATAATAAATAAAATATAACACTCAACTCATAATTAACCCTTTATATAAATACATGCAACTAATATAATTATCTTACTATTATTAGAAGTAGCCACCTAAGAAAAATATATACCAATGGTGCGGGGTAATGAATTGGACGTGTCTACGTAAATTGCCTCAGTCTCTTAGTAGTCATTAGGGGATACAAATCACGTCTCTTTGAGGTTTTTATCCAACATCATGTATGATCTTTATATAAATTAGGAGCTCATATAGTTGTTGTCCACAGTTTAAAAGATTAAATATAGGATAGGAACAATTGTGAGCTTTATTTTTTATGGATCCAAAATTGAGAAACATTTTACTCTTGAGTGGTTATACAAAGTATTAAGAATGCGTTATATAAATGAGGGAATCGGAAGGGTAAACTTAAGTCAATTTTCTCAGTAGCTAAGGCAATTCTCGAAGAACCTACCCTAGGGTTGTCTCAAGGCATGACGGCGGCGCCTGGCCACCTGCCGACGGTAGCCTTGGCGTACCGTCTCTCTCTGATCCTGTTGCAGGTCAACGTCGTCCTCTGACTGATTCCTCTTCCCCGAATCCTAAGGCAGACAGGGAAGCGCAACAATTCAAGAAAAGGGCAAAACCTATAGTGGCCAACCCTAACGTGACGGAGGCTAGGGATGAAATCCTGACGGATGTTCCAGTGGCTCAGGAGGGAAGTCCATCCTTCAAATCTCAGTCGCAGCCATGGACGTAGTGTCACAACACCGCGAGAAGGCTATTTAGTGACGTAGTTCGCTTGGATAACTAGTATATCGCGGACTCAGATTCCGAAGAGGTTGCTGCACCCATTCGCGAAGATGGGCGGGAAGATGACTTCCAAGAGGAAGACGATCCGAACTGTCCTCCAATCCATTTTACTGCAGCGGAGAAGAGAAATTCAGGCGGGAATGGCCTTCAGCGTTGATCGTGAAGGTTTTGGGGCGTTCTACATCCTATACTGCGATCTCGCGCCGTCTGAACATGATATGGGCTAAGGCAGGAGGCATCCAAGTCACTTCGGCAAAGAATGTCTATTATTTTGTGCGTTTCACCAGTGGTATAGATTACGAAAGGGCAATTACTGGAGGTCCGTGGATGACGGGGGGACAACTACTTGACAGTGCATACTTGGACAAACACTTCAACCCCTACCAGCATGAAATATCGTCAACCTTAGTTTTGGCCAGGCTCCTCGATATACCGATTCACTACTTCCATCTGGAGGCAGTTATGAAGATAGGGAAGTGGATCGGGAAACCTTTGCGAGTATGAGGCCACTAGAACAAGTGCACGTAGTGATTATGCGAGGGTCTGTGTTCAAGTCGACCTCACCAAGCCATTACTCTCACAATTTCGTATTGATGGAATTAAATATTTCATTCAATATGAGGGGCTCGAGAAGATTTGTCTTCAGTGTGGGACGTATGTAGCTAATGGTCATTGTCAGTGTGCTAAACCCGTGGAGCCTATGGAAACTGAAAATCCGGTTAAAGAGAAGGAACCACGGACAGAGGATCCGGGCCGAGTTTATGGTGAGTGGATGATCGCGAAGCGTAAACCTCGAAATATCCGACGTGAAGCGGTGGGGACAGAGGGATCGAGGAAACCAACGGGTGAACAAGGGAGGTCATCGGGCTCGAGATTCCAAGTTTTAGCTGAGGAGCACCCCCAGTCACGGAGGAACAACAACATACTGAGATACCCTCGAGGGAGACTACCCCAACCGTTGTGAATGCTACGAAGAAACAAGCAGCGTTTAACCGTGAGCAAAATATGAAAGCTGATCGGACCCTGACCCCTAACACAAACGGGTTCGACAAACCAGTTTCGGCTACCTCTGACGTTCAACTAGGCAAGACCATCGATGGGGGCTAGCCCGTGCCAAGGACTCAACACACTCCTCACGAGAAGTCGTAGGGGGAGCAACCTGTGCAAGAGATCTCCGCTGCCGCTTATGGTGGAGACACATCTTGCCCATGGAAAGGAATCACGCCCCAGAACAATGCCACTCAACATGGTGGGCCACTTCCCCATGAGCTTACTCTCAAGAGTGCTGCCTTAGGGAGGCCACCAAACGACCCTATGGACGTGAGTGGGAAGGAACTCAATGTGCAAAGTGAAGTTTCTAGTGAAGCAACCTCCATGCAAGGTGGCGGGGATTCCCCACCAGAGACCTGTTAATGGATATACCCGTGATCACCCTTTACGCTTGTTTTTTTATGGATTACAAAATATTTTCCTGGAACTGTAGGGGTGCAGGTGGATGGAGATTCCTCCGTATGTTCAGTGAGTACAAAAGACGGTTCTCTCCGCAGATTACCATCATCGTTGAACCTAAGATCAGCGGCGATACTTCCCTGAGAGTAATCCATTCAATGGGTTACGACCGAGAGCTTGTGGTGGATGCAGTAGGCTTTTCCGAGGGTATCTGGGTCCTTTGAAACTCATCAGAGTTGGATGTTACGCAAGTCAAAGCCCACACCCAATTTCTCCACGTAGAGGTGCGGGAGACTGGCTCCCATAACAACTCATGGCTTTTGACTGCTATTTATGGGAATCCGGCGCCCATGCAACGTTGTCAATTGTGGGCCGAACTTGAAAAGCTAGCCGAGGATCAACAGCGACCGTGGATATTGGTTGGGGATTATAATTACATCTTTCATTCTTCGAAAAAAGCGTGTGGAGCTCCTTTTGATGTGTCTCGAATCCGAGACTTTCAGGACTGTATAAACAATTCAGGGTTGGTCAACTTGGGTTATGCTGGGCCGGCCTTTACCTGGTTTCGAAATGGTACAAGAGAAAGACTGGATAGAGGCTTAACTAATCATTCTTGGTTGACCTCCTTTCCTGAAACATCGGTTCTTCACCTCCCCCGGATAAAGTCAGATCACTGGCCTATCCTGATTCGTACGTCGATGAGCGTGCCACCCGCCGGCCCAAAACCTTTCCGATTTATGGCTGCATGGCTAACCCATGAGGATTTCAAATGCATGGCAACATCTTCTTGGGAGAGCGGATCATCTTTCTCAGACTTGGCTATAGCCTTTGCGAGAGAGGCCAGGGAATGGAATAAGAACATATTTGGCAATATTCAGCAAAAGAAAGATGCTTTGCTACGGAAGATCGAGCGCTGGGAGGCACAGGATGGCGATTCTAGCTTATCATCGAGGCTTGAACAAGCTCGTGAGGAGCTTGAAGCCCTTCTCTTTCAGGAGGAGCTCACGTGGTGTCAAAATTATCGGCTGGACTGGATCATTTTTAGATACCGGAACACTAAACTTTTTCATGATCGTACTATTTTGCGCCGCAAAAGAAACAGAATTCTACCCTAAAAGGGGCAGATGGAAGCTGGATCGATGACCAGGCAACCCTTCAGGAGATAGCCTGCAACTTCTTCATGCTCCTCTACATAGACGAGGGCGGGGAAACCCAACCCATGGGTAATGGTTTCCCGGTTATTGATCAACAAAGGTGGAAGCTTGTTGACTCCATGCCCACTCATGAGGACATCAGGACAACAATCCGCAATATGGGAGCGTTGAAGGCCCCGGGAACGGATGGTCTCAACCCTCTTTTCTTTCATTATTGCTGGGATTTTGTTGGTGAGTTGGTGACCAAGTTAGCCCAGGACTGTTGGATGGATCCGGGGATGATTCAAAGCATCAACACCACTATCCTCGTTCTAATCCCGAAGGTCTCTTCCCGACCCTCATCGAGCAGTTTCGTCCCATCAGTCTTTGTAACGTGGCCTACAAGGCACTGACAAAGTGTCTTGATGAGAAGCTGAAGTCCCTTATGCCGACCTTGGTTCATGAAACGCAAACCAGCTTCGGTCCGGGGCGTCATATCACTGACAATATTTGTATTTTGCAGGAAGTGGTTCACTCCATGAGAGCAAAGAAGGGTCGGAAGGGTTGGATAACTCTGAAAGTTGACCTTGCCAAGGCCCACGATCGAATACGTTGGGAGTTTGTCAGCGATACCTTACAGGCGGCTGGGGCACGACCTAGTTCATTGATGTCACTATGGTTTGCATATCCACTGCATCTATGCAGATTCAATGGAATGGAGGACTGTCATAGCCTTTTCAGCCGTCTAGGGGGCTCCGTCAAGGTTTCCCACTATCGCCTTACATTTTCACTCTGTGCATGTAGCGGCTGGGTCACCTGATCACGGCTGTAGTGGAAGAGGGATCCTGGCAACCCATCAAGATCACCGGGAAAGGCCCTGCCCTTTCTCATCTCTTCTTTGCGGACGATATGATCCTCTTCAGTGAAGCTACGCAGGAGCAGGTTGTTGTTGTCAATCATTATTTTACGCAGTTCAGTGCCTCATCGGGAAAACAGGTTAGCAAGCAGAAGTCAAGGGTCTTTTCTCGGCAAATGTCCACCCGACCATCGAAACAGCTTGAGTGCAGCCTTGGGGATCCCTGAAACCTTAAACCTAGGGTGTTACCTCGGAGTCCTAGTTATTCATGACAGGGTATCCAAGGCCACATATACAGACCTGATCGATCGTATAGAATCCCACCTTGCAGGTTGAAAGGCAACCACTCTTTCTCTTGCAGGCAGGATCACCCTTCGCTCAATCTGTGCTATCATCATTACCGGCGTACACCATGCAGGCGGCACTCCTCCCTTCCAGTGTCCGCGACTATATTGATCGCAAGATTCGTGGTTTTATATGGGGGAGCACAGAAAATGGCCGGAAGCTGCATCTCGTCGACTGAGAGACACTATACCGCCCCAAAGAAGAGGGAGGCTTGGGACTAAGAGACGCAATGCGGATGAATGAAGCGTTCACGCTCAAGATTGCCTGGAGGATGATCTCGAATCCTGAAGAGCTCTGGGCTCGAGTGCTGGCCGCGAAATATCTCAGGAACATGGATGGGCGGCTGGTCCCTCGAAGTCAAGGATGTATTTCAAATTTGTGGAAAGGTGTTTTGCGCGTTTGGCACCTCATTGACGAGGCATCCTTTTGGAATGTGAGAAATGGTAAAACCGCGAGATTCTGGCTAAATAGGTGGTTAAATGATGGTGATCCTCTCCATTCTTTTGGCCCAAGACTTGCCGCATGATGTATTGGAGATGCCGGTGGCGGATTTTGTGCTTAACGGAGAGTGGAATCTCTCATTCCTCTCTCATTTCCTACCTGCTGACATTGTCTCGCAGATTTGCCTCCACGCGGCACCGTCCGACCAAGACAAAGATATAAGAAGCTGGAGACTCACTGCGAACATGATCTTCTCCATTAAGACGGCGTACGAACTCACCGATGTGGAGTACAGTGCACACCCCTCTCACCCTTTATGGCGATCGATTTGGCAGATTAAGGCAATGCAGCGGGCCCGGACGTTCATGTGGTTGGCGACACATGATCGGTTACTCACTAATGCTGAACGAGGAAGGAGGCACCTGACACAGGATGTAAAGTGCAAAATATGTGGAAATGGTCCGGAAACTGTGATACCCGTTCTTCGTGACTGTCCGTATGCACGAGGCACGTGGGCGGGGATTCTCGGCGATGAACCGGATGACGACTTCTTCGGCCAGCATCTTCAAGCTTGGATCCACCATTATTGTTCTGGTCGAGGAGTTGTGGTTGACGAATCCTTGTTTGTAGGGACATGCTGGCTGATATGGAAGAACCGCAATGAGTTGGTTTTCCGAGGGGAGTTGTGCAGCTTTGAGCATATGCGTTTTAAAGCCACCCACCTCCAACAACAGATCAAGGCCCCCTTTGACAATGAGCAGAACCTATTTGGAGGAGTAGGGGCGAAAGAGCTAAGGCTGATTAATTGGCAGCTGCCGCAATAGGGGTGGATGTGTGTTAATACGGATGGTTCTGTTATACAATCTCTATCAAGCACGTATGCGGGAGGAGTTGTTCGGGATGAAAATGGCAGGTTTGTCAAAGCTTTCGCGATCAACTTAGGAGGAGGATCTATTACCCGGGCCGAACTGGCCGGGATCGACACATGGTGTGAAGCTTGCCTGGGCAGCGGGAGAAACGAAGGTACTCATCCAATTCGACTCCACTACTGCGATTTCTTTAATTGAGTCGGCCACTCAGGAGCACCCACACTATCGCCACATCGCAGAGATTAGACGTTGGATTAGTCGCGATTGGCAAGTCAAGCTTGAACATGTCTACCACGAGGCCAATTATACGGCAGATTATCTTACTTCCCTAGGACACTCTCTACCCATTGGTCTTCATGTGTATGAGCCGCCATCGAGCACCATGGCTTATTGGTTGTATTTTGACCATATTGGGGTTCAAACCCTGCGTTATATTAATCCTTAAAGGTTGGGACGCCCTTTAGCACTCCTCTTCCCACAAAAAAAAAGAGAATGTTTTATATAATATATTAGATATATTATTAATTTTCTATATGGTTAATTTGGTTTTATTGGTTAGCAGCGTCTGAAACCAAACCAAACAAGTTTGAAAATTTAACTAATCTAAATCGACTATCAAAATTAACCAAACCAAATTAAGAGTTGTTCCGTACGCTTTTTAATTTTTGAAAACTGATCAATAAATTTTCTTTTCCGTGTAATTAAACTAATTGCTTTGGTTTAAATACAAGGTTTAATACATTTGCATAGCCATAACTTTCACGATTTTGACAAATATAGCCACTTTTTGAAAAATACACAGACAAAGCCACACTTTTAAAACATTGTTGATTAATCTAGCCATTTCCCTCGAAACATTTAACGGCGTTAACGTACCTGTCAGTTAAGCGGACGAATAGCCGATCTGTCTGCCACATGGAAGACACGTCAGCGCCAACGGGACTAACTAAGTGACGTGGACGCCACGTCAGATAATGAAGAATATTTTTTAATATTCATTTTTTTATATAACTGACATGGATTCACCACAATTTATTGTATAATAATAATTTATTAGTTCCCCTTTAATTCCAATATTGTGTCATTAACCTCTGCCATCTTCCCAGATCCAAAATCCACCTGCGCCCCTTCTTCTTCTTCCCAACCGAAACTCTCAAATCCCTACACAACAGCGCCCTTCTTCTTCTTGATTTGATAAAATCCATTTCGTTTCTCACCACCAAACCCGTCCTCCGTCGATGAACCGATTGGCGAAATCACACCCATACCCTAAACCTAGAATCAACATCCACCAGCTCATAAACGCTAATCCCTATTCCCCAATCATCTATTGTCGCCATCGTTCTACCTCCGTCCAATGAAGAAGCATCCATGGGGAGGTTGTAGCGTCAAAGAAATCAATAATGGAGACTAACGAGGGCACAAGGCAATCCATCACGAAACTGGTCTCGAGTAATAAATCTCGGTTGCAGGAGGGACGGTGGTCGGATTCAAAAACGGTCTCTGCTTTGTGTTTGCGGTCAATGATTGTAGACGGAGACCATTCGAACTGGCCGCCGATGTAGCAGGGGAAGTTTTCCTACCACCTTCCACCCCGCCGCCTCCGAACCGTCGTAGTCAGAACCGCCGTCCGATGCTACTCTCCAGCCGGATGCATGGCTTCTCTTAGTCAGAAATCGAGCACAAAGGATGGGATCGAAGGATAGGGTCAGTCGAGAGAGAAGGAGATGAACAGATAAGGGAAAAGGGGAAAGTGATTCGATCGCTTTCTCTCTCCCTGTCATACTTTATTTTTAATTAATCATTTATTCATTAATTGAAAAATCAATGTTTTCCATCTGGCAAGGACGCAAGCTAAAACATGCCACATCAGCCGCTGTCGTTAGTCCAGTCAGCAAGTTATGTAAACCATCAAAGAATTAGACGGAATTGGCTATATCTGAGTATTTTTCAAAAAGTAACTATATTTGTCAAAACTGTGAAAGTTATGGCTTTGCAAGTGTATTAAACCTAAATACAATCTCAACCTTATAAAAAGTGATATAAGATTTATGAATTTGTGCAAATTTTAACGGGTCAATTGACTTTTGGGCTTTTAAGAGAGTGATATACGACCAAGTAGTAGGCCGATCCTCTTATCTTTGGAGAGTCTTCTGTGCATTGAGCCCAGGCGATCAGCCGGCCCGATTCACTGGCCGTTTCTCTAATGCCATGAAAAAGAACGTCCACCGAAGCGCTATAAACTTCCCGCGATCGCTGAAATTTAAAAAGCCAATTCTTTCACAACGTACTTTTGATTCATTCCAACCTCAAATTTCGACAGTTCTCTGTCCAAGCTTGGGCTTCCCGGCGCTGAGAAGGATTCGCTACTCACTGGTCAGTCTTCATCGTGATCTTCCGCCGGAGTAACTTCGTTTGAGGTAACTCTCTGTTCAGTTTGTTCTCGATCTGTCAGCTCTTACGCTTTTCTATACCGATGTTCATCGACTCTGGAATGAGTATTCCGCCGTATGCGAGCAAACAGAAATGTTTAGATCTTCTATGTTCTGATTTTCGAACCAATGAATCGCTCGTCTGGCGAATACGGTGTTTCGTGTTTCCTTGCGACTGATGCATAATTAGCTCGCACTCCAGATTTGATAGGCATCCATGTCGTAGGGATTGACTGGAACTTAGAGAAGAATCAATTAACTCGTTGTTCATTTGTGCTCTTTGGATCTCCACTAAATGCCTGCCATCTGCTCGACCTATGTCCGCAGTGGCGCATACTGCCGATTCCGTTGTCGAGATACACTCATATAATTAGTTGAATCTAGGGTTATAGGAGACCTCTCTTATTTTGCTATTGTAAGTCAAAGTCCTTGAGCGAGCCATTGTGTTGCGGTTTCTCTTTCTTAATTCATTCAGATTTGACGTTCGAGAATCAGACAAATGGAAAACGGATCACCTGAAAACTTGCCTAAGCGCCTGAAGCTGGGGGTATGGCTGTTGCTCGGTCACTCGCTACTTTTTTATGTCTCTAAGTCTGATGAAATCTTAATATAGCGAAGGTGTTAAACTCTGTTGTCATTAATTCACAGATGGAGGAGAAGGACCGTGAAGTGAATGAGAAGGAGGAGCAATTAGAAGGAAGCCTAGTTGTCTCTGATGAGATGGAGGCTAATATCTCTCAGATTCTGGAGAACATAGATCGCTTCACCCAAATGGTAAATAGTAGCTAAAATAATATCGGACGTTAAAAATGGATATGATCATATTATCATGATACAGTGTGTGTGGGTGTTTCTTTATAGGATATTCTCCATTGGTTGAATTTATCTACCACATTAGCTAATTGTAGATGGTTTCATGTCTTCTATCACGGATGCACATCTTGTTTGCCTGTGGAGTTGCAATTGTTTATCATTTCTCTGCTGTGTCCTGCATCTGTACAGGTTACTGAGCTGATGGAAGCCGGGAAAGCTATGTTCAAGGAGCTGAGCTATGATTTCGAAGAACGCTTGCTTATGTAAGATCTGCAGAGCTTTCAAGTTTTTTTCTTTCTGGGTCACTTTCTGGGAAGGATTCTATCACTGTGGCTATGGCTGCTCTACATCTCTGTACTAAATCCATGTTATGTCTTCAGGGTCCACAAGGAAAAAATTGAAAAGTGGCAAGAGGAGATAAGAGAACTGCGGTTGCTTGATGGCGCCAATGAGGAGATTAATGCTGTTCTGCTCAATGCTACATATTTGTTTCACAATCCTAACTTGGACTCTTGAAGGTATTTTCTCAACTTCTACAAACTAGTAGTCTCTCCTTGCCAGAATGCTTACCATTTAAAAAGAGACTACGGGGCTTGCTATAATGCCGTGCAGAGTTAAAGTCAATTAGGCTATCCAGAGTTACGAAAGCATGCTAGGGGTTGCTCTAATTTGGCTTTGTCCTAGAGCTTAATCATCATTAAGGTTTTGCTACCTAGGGCTGAATCGAAATTTCTAGTTGCATAACAAGCCGATTTACTGATTTGTCCAAAGCTGTTTTTGTGACGATACTGCTCAGTATACTTGCAATATGCAAAAGAAGAAGGTTGGTCGTCACTATTGTAAAATTTGGTATCTGAAAATACCCAGCAATCAGTAGCTGAAAACTGAGTTAGTGAGTTATAGTTGAATGGAAGCAAGTTAATTGATATTGTTCCTATTATATTGCTTTATGAGCTTAAATGCGTCAAGAGATAAGTTGACATTTGATAGCTTTTGCTTCTTTGCTGAATCTCTGATCCATGTGCTTCAGCTTGAATTTCAGTTTTTGCTATCTGGGAAGGACAAATGCTCTTGACCTCTTGTTGTGGTGCTGCATCAAGTTGGAGTTGCATCTCGCTTCTACTACGCAAACGTGCTCTTGGGATGGACCAACATGTTGCTGGTAGTCTTGATGCTGGATTAAATACATAACAATGAACAAATTTTATGTCATTTGTAGTTGTGTTAGAGAACATAAGGCACGACGCAGTTGCGTCTGTTTTCTACAAAAAAAAAAGAAGAGAACATAAGGCACGATTCTAACCAAAATGTTCGGCTTATGTATTGTCAATGACCAACTACCCAAAGGAGCGTTATCTTTGTCAATACGTTTGTACTTATCCCTCAGTATCACACAATTATGCTACCATAATCTGTTACGTCTTCTAAAGGTTTTGTTTCGAATTTTCTTAAGTTTGTTAATTTTTCTTAGTTCTATATTCAAGAATATTTTTTGTGCATCATGTATCTCAAAGTTAGATTGGATTGGAAAATAAAAGTTCTGTCAAAACTTGAGAAATAATGAATTAAGAGTGGATTTGAAAAGGTGATTGTTTGTTTGTTCGATTTATGATGGATTTTGAGAATTGAATTTAAACATTTAATAAATTTACCTTACTATCTCTAAAAAAAAATATTGGTGTAAGAAGATAAGAAACATTTTATTTTCTTATCTTCTTTCACTTATCTCCTCGGATTGCTAACACTACTATCACAAACACAATTAGGACTCGTCGACTGATTTTTTCTGATAGTTTAGATCTAATCTTAAGACTTGTACTGATCCATTTAATTGATATGATTGTCTTCATATGGTTTTTATTGGTTAGTTAATACCAAACATTAACTACTACCATGATTATAGATTTATTATATCTTTACAATATGACCTCATTTTACTCAAATCATTATGTAATAGTTTTATCAAATAATATTTGGTGTTAACAAATGTCTAACACAAGGAAAAGGAGACCATGAGTCCTATCCAAACTTATTAAAGAAAAGGTTTTATTTATGGGGAAAACTCAAGTGCGATCTTGCTGCCTAATGCTTATTTTTTCACAAATAAAACCTTCTCCTTACCATGTTTGGTTAGGACTTCGAGTCGCTTTTTTCATATGGGTTGGTACATTCATCAAACTTCTCACCAATTCAATCACCTCAATATCCAAGGCAAAGATGATACAATGGTAGCTTCTTAACTAAAGAACAAGACAATACTTTCCTCTTTCACCGATTCAACACTATCAAAATTTTGACCTCCAACTCAACTTACCTCTTCATGTCATGGCTAGCCACCCAAACCATGCTCATAAAGTGGGGTAGCATGGCATGCCCTATGGTGAGACAAGACCTGACATGCCAAGCCACCACAAGACTTGCTTAACATTGAAACCATTAACACCCCACATTTCAAAGAGGGGTTTGATAATACTTGATGCTGATCAAACGACCATGTGACATCTCATCTAAAACATTTAACAAGTAGGCCCAATTGAGTTGGGTGACATGGATGATGAAGGATCCACGCCGCATACCCATCAATGGACCATGTCATGTGGGTGGCATGATGATAGACCTTGAAATCTAGGGTGCGAAATATGCGGTGAAATTGGGAAATGGGGTCGACTAAAGCCTTTGGGAAGAAGGAAGGGTTTCGATTGGGAAAGGAAGAACAGAGAGAGAGAGGCTTAGGGTTTCAATATTCTTATTATGCTTTACCATAAACTTGCCTTACACCGATACTTATACTAATCAACAATTATCCCCTTTACTCCCCAAAATAATAACATAATCATAATACTCCCTCCTCAACAATAAACCAACTAATAATCCGAACAATAAACTGACAATTAATAATAATTCCTAACAATTATAAAATGTGCTCATCATACCCTTCCACTTGAAGCGCAACCTTGCCCTCAAGGTTGCCTTCTCGCTCCGCTCCTCTTTCATTTCCACGTCGTCTTCCTCATCCACTTCATCTTCCCAGGAGCATCATCAAATACGGTTTCGCGCACTGGTGCCAAAAACGAACTTCTTATTGCAGTTGAAGCATTTCCCTTCCCTTCCAAAAATGAACCCGGTGCGAGTGGTTCCTTGTCCCGCAACCCCGATGATTCTCGTGCTCGTGCTAGCACCCCCGTTGTGCCTCCTCTGCCACTCCCCGTCGCCACGGCTGATCCGCCACTCCCACTCGACTTCATTTGCCTCCCCATCACGCTCCTCTAGCTTGCAATCTCCTCCTCTTTTAGCCATGCCAAAAAAAGCAGACCTCAACGAGTCATGCTCGAAAACACTTACCACAGCAGCAATCTCCAGATACAACCCTGCCATGCACAATCCAACCAAAGTCTCTTCCGGCACGCCCTTGCACTGATTTTCCAGCTTAAGAAACTCCACCTGTTACTTAGCAATCGTTCTTGTCGGCCTCGATTTTGCTAGTTGCTTTGGCGCTCATCCATCAGACTTGCCAAACTGGTATCGAACTTCCTCCTGAAAGTGAGACCACGATATGGGTGTCCTCATCTCCGCGTACGTCCTCTCCAACCATTCCCACCACTGCAGTGCATCTCCCTCTAAGTAGAATGACGCAAATACGCCTTCAACTCCTCCTGCACCTCATGGTTCTTGAACCACCTGTCAGCTGCAACCATAATCCAGCATCCTCCTGACCATTGAATTTTGAAAATTTGATGGTTGGAGGTTTAGCTCTAAACACCAGATCCCCATCACCATCATAGTTCGAGCCATACCCTCTGTACCTGCCGATACCAGGCGTAACCGCTCGCCGGTTCCCTTGCTGGCTTTTCTATTCATGCTCCTGACTCCAAATGCCACCATAGTCTTCCCGTCGGCTCTTCTCTCTTCCCTCGCTTCCTTGGTCGAAATCCACCTGTCTGTTGAGGTTTCTATCCTCCACTCGCGCCACCCCATAGGAGGAGTAACCCCCTCCCTCTCGTTCCAACCTCCAGTCGCTCTGCCCTGGCCTGGAACGACCCGGTTCGAGAGTGAATGGGTTCGACCGAATCCATTTCCGCCGAATCCAGTACGACTGAATGGGTTCGACCGGTCCTCCATCGCACGACAATCTGCCCACGCGCTTGTCTTGCCTGGCCCCATCAATCTTCGTTCTTCATTCTCCTCGTAGTGTGGCTATGGTTGCTCGAACATCACGCTTTGAGTGACGTCATACCCTGCCATCTTTGCTTTGCCTTTCCACACTGTGATTTCCTGCTCCGAAGGAATCGGCAAAAGACCATTGCCCTGCCCTAGCTCCTGCGGAGCGTGATCCACTCTAGCTACCGTTACCGCACCCGACAGCGCTCTGATCACGACGGCCGACTCATCCGCCGCCAAAGCCTCTCGCTCCTCCGCGTTTGGGATCAGCTCAGCCCCATCCTTCTTTGGTCATGTCTCAGTCGACAGTCCGTCCTCCTTGTTTGCATCCATGCTCGCCTCCCGGGAAAGCCCCTCGGACAACTGAACCATCACCTTCGAGAGCAGCAACACCATCTGAGGGCGTTTGTGTAGCTTTTTTAGAAGCTAACCTCACTTTCTCGGCAACCTGGTGGATGGAACGGTTAACCTCGTTCCACCCTTCCTCTAGGTTTCCTTGCATCTTGGAGACCTTAAACATCTCCGTCCAAACCTCAAAATAGTCCGGCTCTTCGACGCACGCTTCGTCGCGTGGCGGTTGCATCATTACCTTCTTCTTGGCTTACACCGCCTTGGCCCCTTTCACCACGGTGCCCGCGATCGTCCTGTCTCCTGCCTTCGAGACTGCAGTTGACAGAGCTGCCTTGTCATCAGCAGCCTTCTCCTCTTTTTCTTGCGCTCTTGTGGACGTCATAGTTGCTGAATATTCCACACCCAACCAGTGCTCTGATACCAAGATGATAGACCTTGGAATCTAGGGTGCAAAATATGCGATTGAATTGGGAATTGGGGCTAGGATTTGAGAATTGAAAGAAGAAGAGTTGAAAAAAGCATAGAGGGTTCGGCCGAAGCCTTTGGGAAGAAGGAAGGATTTTAGTTGGGAAAGGAATAACAGAGAGAGGATTAGGGTTTCAATATTCTTATTATGTTTAACCATAAACCTTCCTTACACCGATACTTATACTAATAAAAAAATTATCCCCTTTACAAGTCCCTTGTTTCCATGTCCCGGTAAAAGAAGGAACTTGGCTGTCATTAGGGTTTTAACCCTAAGTGTATCTCTATAAAAGTTTAGCTACGGTCATGTCGTAAGCAAGCCGACAAGATGTAGTCCTATAATAAAATGTCAGTTGTGAGTTCTTCCGAGCTCACCGTGGATTAGCCTTAATCAATCAATCGTTCGAGGATACCACGTAAAACTCTTGTGTTCTGTGTTCGTTTCAATTCTGCATCATCAAATTCTTCATGGTATCAGAGTTGGTTTGTCCTTGAGGTTACGTGTTCAAGTCCTCACGACCCCCAATATTAACAGTTGTCTTTCAAGCACATGATATGGTGGGCTTGTGCAAACTTCAAGGCCATGAGTCTGCTTTCGTTTGAGGGGGCGTGTAAGGAAGTGGTTAAGTACCACCCATGGGCCTGTATAAGATCCAACATAACCTTCTCCCAACATCTCGAGTTTTTGGGACCAACTGATTCTTGACATGGTATCAGAGCTGGTTTGTCATTGAGGTCACGTGTTCAAGTCCTCACGACCCCCAATATTAATCGTTGTCTTTAAAACTCTTGTGTTCTGTGTTCGTTTCAATTCCGCATCATCAAATTCTTCATGGTATCAGAGCTGATTTGTCCTTGAGGTCACGTGTTCAAGTCCTCACGACCCCCAATATTAACAGTTGTCTTTCAAGCACATGCTATGGTGGGCTTGTGCAAACTTCAAGGCCATGAGTCTGCTTTCGTTTGAGGGGGCGTGTAAGGAAGTGGTTAAGTACCATACATGGGCCTGTATAAGATCCAACATAACCTTCTCCCAACAACTCGAGTTATTGGGACCAACTGATTCTTGACATGGTATCAGAGCTAGTTTGTCATTGAGGTTAGGTGTTCAAGTCCTCACGACCCCCAATATTAACCGTTGTCTTTCAAGCACATGATATGGTGGACCTGTGCAAACTTCAAGCCCATGAGTCGGCTTTCGTTTCAAGGGCGTGTAAGGAAGTGATTAAGTATCATACATGAGCCTGTATAAGATCCAACATAACCTTCTCCCAACAACTCGATCCTTATCTAGGGTTTTGAGCTTTCGTGCATCTGCATGCGTCTTGTCCCAACATCGGCTCGCACCAACACCCTCAAGTTTGCTGGCAGATCGTGTGATTTGTTTTCGTTTTCACTAGTACGTTGCTGCCGCCGTGTCTCTGTCTTGCCGCCGACACCATCACCGGTCGCGGCACCAAGTCAAAGTCTCCGGTCCTTAGATCCGGTCGTAGCCATCATCGTCATCGTCGTCAGTAGCAGCCCAGGCGCCATCGATCCCATGGTCGTCCTTTGCTCTCGCCACCGTCTCCGGTTCCAGGTCGCCGACCATCGCCATCGTCGATT